AGAAGATCACCGATCCCCACCAAACAGCCTTTGTATCCGCCAACTGTATTAGTAAATTAACTTTCCATCAATCACTTCTATCGCCATATGTCATTTTATGACCAATAGAAGAAGAGATCACTATCTTAATGACTTGCTTAAAAGAAAGTATATGATGAACTTCACCCTTCGAATAGTTTCTATCGGAACTCCTTACAGCTCATTTGACACTTGCCCGGAGTTTGGTGAAAAGGTGAGTGGGAGTTAAATTGCTCTTATCCCATCTCATTTAACCCGGTTTAAATCATGAGTAATCTTACATAATTGCCTTTTTCTTGGAAATTATTCCATTGAAGAGCTAACAAGTGATACTTTGAGTTTTGCGAGGGTTTCCGAGATAAGTATTAATTTTCTACTTTAAGTATCTTAAGTTAGTGTATGAACTTGCTTTTGATCGATCGACATCAGAAACTGGATTTTTTTATCGTTCTCAAGAAATTGTTCTCAGTGGATCAACAGAGACAAAATCCCTAGCTAGCAGCACTCAAATTCTTCTACATTTTGTAGGTTCCACCTGACTATTATGAGTTACGCCCTGTAACGAAGATTTCTTGAAAGATCACAAGTCCGAACCAAACAGCGATTAATATCAGCCACCTTTATTAGTTAATTAATTTTTACCACTTTTGTCACCTTATCTCAATTAATGATCAAAAGAAGAAGCGATTAATCAAAGGCAGTGATGTTGTTAATTGAATGGGGGTTCGATGATCTATGTTTGAAACATATAAAAGAGACAGCTGCATTCAACTGTAAGTCCTGCCTAACAATTACATGAGTTACGCGCCGTAACGGAGATTTCATTGAAGATCATTGAACCCTACTCTTCTTGCAGCTTTTAAATTAACTTTCCATCAATCATTTCTATCGCCTTCTGTCAATTTATGACCAATAGGAGCAGAGATCACTATCTTAATGACTTTGTTAATAGAAACATATGATGACCTTGAGCAAACTTAGAACAGTTTGCTACGGAACTTCTTAAAGTTCGTTTGACACTTGCTACGGAGTTAACTAAACAGATAAGTCGAGGTTAAATAGCACTCATCTCATTTAAACTAGTTTAAACCACCAATAGCCTTGCAAGGTTGCTGTTTCTTCGAAATTCTTACATGATTGAAGAGTTGTTGTTGTTGTTTTTTTTTTTTGGTCAGATCTTGATCTTGGTGGTACCAACTTGTTGTTGTTGATCGATCGATTTTTCTAATAGAAACTGGAATTTTCATGATTTAATTGAATAAACAAATGGTGCATCACATTAGAGTTGTTTAAGCATAAGAAACAAGGCACATATCCCTGCAAAAAAAAAAGTTTACCTGCTGAGTAGCGACGTCTATTCAGAGTAGACATGGTCAGCTTATCAACCTCGTCCCCAGGGCGCTTTTCCCTGGCTTTAGATTTTAGTGGCTGGTTTTGGTGTATTTCACCTCTAAAGGTCACCTTGCATAGTTGGTCAACGAGTGCTATTTGTTGATATGGTGATACACGAATCATGTCCACTTTCTTAAAACACTTCATAACGTCTTCAGATTGCCAACGAATCATGCCTAGAAATTGTCTCCTTCAGGTATAGAAAAATATCTCACGACGTAACCTGCTGCCTGTCCCCATTCCCACCCCCCTCAGCTCCTCGCTCCAGAGTGCCTCCCTCTTTGTTTACCAGCCTATTGAGAGCCCCGGATATACCCCTGAAGTTCATTTGCTCTAAATCGTTTCAGGATACTGTCTTTCTTTTGTGCAAAACGTGTGGAACGTCTATACCGGCTGGTTTATAAGCCTATTTGATTCGTGAGCTGTTTGCATTTAAATTTGTTTTTGTTTTTTTTTTTTTTTTGATCCACTGATTTGAGACTAAACACATATTCATGGAAAATAAACTTTGGGACCGTGATTTTCAAATAAATGTTGTCGCACTCAAATAATGTAAAACTTCGGTCGTTTACGTTTAGAAATCTTTTCTGAGATATCTCCGTTTAGGATTTGTTTTGGTTAGCGATTGCTGTTTGCTTCGTTAAGCCGAGAAACCCCCAACAGAGAAATATTCTTACTGACTATTCTTACTGAAGTGCAGCAAGCTAAGGTTTCGGCGCAAAACGATTCTCAGTAACGCAGTTGTTTTTGACGAATTACGATATGGCAGACTATTCAAGATGAAACGCCAGTTAGATTTCAGCAAAACTTTCGATAAGGTCCCCCACGTGTGTCTCTGAAGTAAGTTACAGTTAGCTCTGGTAGCTGTGGTCCCTTGCGTAATTGGTTCGAATGAGGACCTTGAGCAACGAGAACGTTGACGCCTCGGACGTCAAAAATGGAAACTGGAAGTTGACCATTTTCAGTGCTCTGATTCGTAAATTATACAGGGTGAGTTAAAACAAAGACATTCACTATTCGTTGTGTGAGACCGAGGCGTTCCTACAAGCGAGACATAGAACTTCCGTCAACTTAAGAAGAAAAATTTTTTATCTTGTCCTCTCACTTTGATCTCCTTCGCAGCCGTTCTTTGTGTCATAACGCAACGTATTCATGACGTCCGGGATTTCAACGTTCTCGTTGCTTATCCTCGCTAAATATATTTCCTTACGAACTGCCCTCAGTCTATTGTCTGTCATGACAAATTCTTCCATTCCTTCACAATTGACATCAAGGGTTCCGCAAACTACAGCTTTAGGACCAGTAGTATTTCTTAGACGTAAGGGCAAAAACCATTCGTTTCTCGAGCTCAATAAACGTACAGTTTTTGATTAATTTCAAAACTTTTCAATGACTTCCTCAAGCACGTGGCAATTCTTCAAAAATTCAGAGTATATGATATATGACAACATAAAGCTGGCCTCTGTATCTTACTCGGTTCAAATAAGACTATTCTTTCCAACCAGAACTAACTGAATCATAAAGTAGACTGACATAAAACGAACTTTTAAGGTGTAATTGTCAGATCAACATCATTGTCCTTCGGGTCGTAAATATTATACAATTAATTATGCTTTACTGACCAAGCATTAGGTTAACGTGGCTAAACACTGCTAAATATTGGCCATACTTTCGCCTGTTTATGGACAGTGAAGAAGTCGAGGTCAATAGGAACGCCAAAACAGACTGTGCAAATATCCAGCCATCTTGACCAAACAAACTTGGTCAATAGAGGATATTATTATATGGCTGACAGTGGGAATTTTTCTTCCGGAATTAACGCGGGAAATTCCGAGCGGGCAACATAGGCCAAATCTTACTCACTCGGGTGGCCTGAATCACAACACAGGATTCGCTTACTGATCTAGGCATATAATAACGGGGAGCTTAAGCAAAGGCGTTTTGCGCGACACAAATTAACCAGAAGTGGACTTTTTGCATTCTTTGGAGGAGGTTTTGCCCAGAATCATGTATGAGAGCAAATTCACTTCGCAGTTGAAATTTGAAAGTGAAGGCACTAGTTACTGGTACGACGGTCAAAAACGCCTTTGTTAGCTCCCCTCGAGAGAGAGAATAATGGCATTAACTTCTACATAGAAGGTCCGCATCAAAACGGAAATACTAGGTTAACAGGGGAGCTTACCGTTGTAATCAGTTGTACTAACCTGAGATCAGGCTCTATTTTCGTTTCGCTTTGTAAATAACATTCCGGCGCAGATTCCGGCGCGCATGGCAAACGAAAAGAGAGCCTGATACAAACCTTCTACGAAACGTCTGCCGCCCACTTTTTTGATTGATTGACATTTGCCGAATCAGCCAACCAAAATTACTTCCGTTGCTTGTTTTTCTAGTATGCAAATTTTTCACGCGTGGGAAAAATGCAGACTGGCTGACTTAAAAAATAGCATTTATCTGTTAATTTTTTCAGCTAAAAATAAAACCGTCAGCACAATCACATTTAACTTCTTGCGAGATTAACGGAGACCTCGAAGGTTATTTCTGTTGGCGTAGAAGGTAAAAAGTTTTCGAAAAGACGGCGAATTTCGCGCTCGAATTTCAAATACTGAAATCTCTATTTTTCCGTTGCCTTAATATTGTCCTCGGCAATTTCCCCCGATTTTCAGTACATAAATCTTTAAAAACAAAAGCAAACAGCCAACGAGCGAGGACACCAGTTTTCTTGGTTTATTTTTTACAAAAAGCGAGGGCAAACAACCAGTCTGTTAACACTAAAAATACCTTGAACAGCGATGCGATAGTTTTCGTCTAATACTTCACAGTTGGCGATTGAGGTTTCTTTCGCAGTGAGCCTCCGCTTGCGTACCCCGTTCAGCGAAGTCATTCCCGGCTAAACTTTCACATGAAACCAGTTTTAAGATGGGCAGTATTTTGATTTGCACCCGTTTGTTGGTAAACCAAAATACACCTTGTTAGCGGTCAACAACTTGCAGAAGGATTCAACTCCGCGATACACTCACTTTCCGTAAATAAAGCAGATCCTGAGAAGATATTAACAACCATATGAATTTTCTGAATTTCCGTGGCACATACTAAGGCATGTTTTCCTACCATAAGACCATAAAACAATAAAAAAGACAGCAAAATCGATCCCTCTCTCCGCCGACGACGGATCATTCACGAAAACAACCACGCGAGGAAAAGGCGCTTTCAACTTCCGGCGTTTCCGACAGCCAATCAGATCTTGTGGCATTGTTCTAACAGCCAATCAGCGTTACGGCCAAAATCTGGCCGTAACGAGCACAAACGTGAATGAGTCTGTATCAAGCCCAATTTCAGCGGTAGCCGTTAGAGAGAATGCGTGAGAACCGCTCAAATTGGGCCTGATCTCAGGTTACAGTTGTACCAGCTGAATCAACTGAGAGTATTCGAATTGTGTAATAAATCCCATTAAATCTATAATCCTTCAACAAACCGTTACTATTGTTAATATAATAACACACATCATGACTAAAATTATAAGGACATTTATGTGTAATCGGCAAACTGAAATGGTTACATATACTCTCTTACCTCAAAAAATCTACAGAATGATGTCTCTCTCGCATCAAGCCAGACTGTGGATCATGGTCCTAGCTGTGTGTAGTGTGACCCCGCTCATCCATGCGGCGGCTAATATATTACATTGCCACAACCTAGAATATGCTGGTCCGATAAAAGAAGTGATAGAAATGAAACCCACTAAGCTGGCAGAGAAGACTTCCAATGCAGCCAAGGTCATACAGGGTTTTGCCACCGACATGGCCTCCTCTGCCATAGAAGAGATCCCAGTCGTAGGTTCCGTACTCAGCACTCTCTTCGGCCACATAGTAGACGCTTATGGCGGTGGAGGCTTAGATCCTGAAGACGTTTACAACAGTTTGAAGACAGAAATCGATCAGCTCAAAAAGTACATGGACCAAGAAATCGTAGAAGCAAAATTAGATTACATCAAAAAGGCTTTTGGGACAAGCCATGGTGGAATTCTTAGCTATGCAATGCACTGCGAAAAAACGTACAAAGGTGATGCAGACGACATGGCAAATTGTTTGGAGAATTTACGCTCTATGCTGACTCAACAGTACCACTTCTTCGTGCCATCCGCTGACAGTAAGGTCAGTATGTTGGAATTTTCTTTGCCCATGTTCCGCATGTATGGAGAGCTCTATGTAGACACTCTCTTGGAACAGATTGGTGTTGCAAGAAAGAGAGGCAAGGATACTCAAGCTGTAGCACATACAGAAACCTTGATTAAAACAGTGAACGACTTCAAAGAGCATTTCAAAACCGCTTTTGAAAAAATCGCCAAACTTCATTGCAGGCCACACGTTATGCCACCCGATAAATATCCCGACTGTGCAGTTTTACCAGGCCAGAATGTCGACATGTGTACTTGCATTTTAGCAATTGGACCAAACAAATTCACATCGGATGAAGTCACAAAGGGCCCAGGGAAAGACTCCAAAAACTTTTGTCTTGGGATTTTCTATAATAGGGTCAACCCATGTGAAGATGCCAAAGAAGGTTATCGGAAAAAATACGCTGAAAAACACCTCAAAGCCATTGCAACCTACTGGAAGAAACAAGTTGGAGATGCAGTATCTAGCTGGATAGAGACTGCTAAAGCGCTGGAACCACTCAAGGCGAACGTTAAGAGGTGAGCATCGAGCGCTATATCTTGTTCTCTTGTTCTTAGCACTTAGTCTTGTTACTTTTGTTATAGGAAATTAACGCTTCCTGAAATTAACGTGAATTTCAAATATTCTCGTTAATTTCGGTAAACGTTAACTTCGGCGCCATCAATTTTAAAAGTAGAACTTAATTTTCGCACCTTAATTTTGATTGTTTTGGCCTCAATTCTCGGTACACTCTTGACATTCTTGACACCTAAAGAAACACTAGTATTTCAGGAGAAATCCGCTAGTATCAGGGCAACCCCAGGCTGTGAAGAATGGCCTGTCCCTTGTTCGTACTTAGGGAAAGTACCAATTATTTTTTTCGGATTATGCGTTGAACTTTGTACCCGTTGTCTCAACAAGTTTTGTGTCTTTGTGAACATTGCTTAAATTTCCCTCATTTTGAAATGTTTCCCTCTCTTTCACGTTAAGTTCCTTTATTGAAAAGTCTTTCTCCATTTAATTCGCGTTCATTTAAAAATAACTTGTTTTAATGGAGCGTTAATTTCCTATAATAAGGTACGTATATCGTTTTTCTTCTTCCACTTAAGCCAACCCTTAATCGAAAGGTGATTGACCGATGATTGGTTTACATTCAGGCTCGGAAAAAAAATGTGAAGAAAAATGGAAGTTGCCGTGTTTATAGTTTCAAGCATCTTTAACGCACGGAAAATTACAAGTCACAAGAAATGTTAGTTTCACACTGTAGCTTGTAAGTAATCTAAGAGCACTTGCGGAATGACCGGCCTTATGTATGTTTTCGTCAGAATTTCACCACCAAGCCTCGTTTTGAAGTTGAAAAGCTGCCAAGTTTCGCATAAATGAACTCCCAAGGCAGAACAGTTGTAAAGAATATTCAGCCCCCAAAGAGTGAAAATGCGAAGAGTTTTGCTTACAAACGAGGCTTGGTGGTGAAATTTGCTGGTCTGACGTAATCATGCATAAGGGCCATATACTTTGAGTGTGAAGGAGTAACTTAGTGACCATGGAAACGTCCATGGTACCAAGAAGCGAAGGTTTGCGGCCAAGTATGATACGTCACGGTACGTCATACTGTGCAGAAGACACTTGGCCATGTGATGTGCAGCATCCGCAGTGTTCAGTTTTTTTTTGTCTTTGTAATCAAAGCCTGTATGTTTTGGGCTGGAAAAACTACGCATCGAATTAAGTTTGAGGACTCTACACGGCGATTTCTCTTTGCCGCAAACCCAAGTTGTCAAGTTGTTGCGCCATTTTAGAGATGTCGCTTGTAGTTTGTTTCTTTGGGGGAAAAAAAAATAAAAGCACTTGTTTATAACGAAGTATCTTATTATTTCCTGTTATCCTTTTAAGTGAAAAGTAACGACAGAACGAATAGGAATTAAGCAACAACAAAAAAAATGTTTGCAATTAGCATTAGTATTTGTGACATTCTGATATATTTTACCGACAGTTTGTGCTCCAAGCTAGCGATATACTTTGCCGAAAGGAGTGAAGCCATTAGCTGTCTTGTACTTCCGAGGGTTAAGAGAGTGTAGTAAAGCTGAAGAACTTCTACATTTCAAAGCCAACTTTGCGCAAGGAAAGCGACTTCCTGACTAGAAAAAGGGGCATAACACATTGTCTGTAGATAATCTTTATTATTATTTTTTTCCATATTCCAGGTCCCTTTCCCTTAAAGAAAGGATCCAGTTTGAACGAGATGTGGCAGCCTACAAAAAAGAAATGTTGTGGAAGTGAGTGACTGGAATAACAGATGCTGACCGATGACCGTCTTGAAAATCACGCTCCTTACTGTTGACTGATTATATTCATAGTATAGCTTGTTTTCAGATTTTCAAGCACAATCAATTTTAATTTTTGAACTGAATCACAAAGCAAAGCACACGTGGTGCACCACACGTAACTGCAATATTAATCATGTTAATTAGCGGATCTCCTAGTTGGTTTCAGCAAGGCCAAAAAAATGTTCTAGGCTGGGTAACCCTCTTTTCTTTTTACAATAGAGATCAAAGTTCTTGGGACCTTTCCAGAGTATTGATAAAATATAAAGTTAGTAGCCTCCCTCCCTCCATCCTAAACGATGTTGAATGTTTGGCAAAATGAGCGGAAACGAGTTCATTTTTGGGCGGGGCAACGTTGCTGAGGGGAGTGGGAGGATGAAAAGCTGATCGAAATCAGAAAGTTATTAGGGTGCAGATTACTATGTAAGAATTACTTGTTAGCCAAGGTTTTTCCACAGTGTCCCAAGTTCTTTTGGCCTATGCGTTTTTCACCATCTTTTACCTCTGCTCAAGTAGGTTTAGGCTAGGGCTGTGATAGATTTCTCAGAATTTTTAAAAGCGGGGGTGGGGGTGGGGGGGAGGGTTGGTCTAATTTAAAGTACTTGCAAGATATCCCATGACTGACAATTTAAGGGTAATCCCAAGGGGTAATCCTAACTAAGAAATCTTCCAATTTTATTTTAAGAATTGTTTATAACTGCATCACTTGACCAGCCACGCCATATTTTATCGAGAAATTCTTGAGTGCAAATTCCCAAGTACCACATAAACAGCAAACCGTTTTCCATTTGTAGGTCCAAAGAGTGGCTACAAATAACTTTTTGTAAAAGCGGTCGGAATTAGACGAGGTCAATAAACATCTTTCTCCTGACGAAAGTTTTAGTTAGTGGAGGACTGGCGCTATTCAATAAACACTAATTACACCTGCAGATTGTAAAGCTTCGAACCATTCCGAGCTGATTTTGTAGACACTATGTAGGGTCAATGTTTTGATACAGAGAAACTGGAGCTACACATTTGGCAAGTGGTGGGAATCGTTGGTTACAATTTTGGAATAATATACGGCGTGGTCGATCACGTGACCAATTATTTTGGTTTTTTTTCTCAAGTTTTTTTTAGTTTAGCTTACTTTGCTAAGCAGTATTCCTCGTAGATGTCTTTGACAACGGTTTTTGGAAAATCAGTGCATAAAAACCATAAATGAGGCAAACCCAGGCCTTAATCTACTTGAGTGATTCCTCCTATTTTGCATTTATTTGCATCATCTTTTCCCTGGAGCAAATTTGATGTAACTCATTTTTTTTGTGTGTAATGAATTTCCAAGTTAAGTTGCACCATGTAATAGGACCCATATGATGCAAATGCATTGCTATTCAGGTTTTTGTATTTTTCATTTTCTATGACAATATTGTTTGGCATGATTACATAATTAACGTTATGGCTTTATTCAGTAGCTGATATTTAGCGCATTTAGCCCGTTGTCTTTTTTAATAAGCGCGATTTCCCTGAAGTGATTTGTTTCCAGAATCTTGATATTGTACGGTCCGGATATATCAGAAAAGCCAGTCAAAAGTAGATAACTAGTAGTTCTCTCAATCCATCTACAGTTTCCCTGCTAGCCCTTTGTGAAGCTTGTTATTTGCTATCATGTGATCAAACAAGAATAAATACGTTTTCTAGTGTTTTACACTAGTCAAAAAATGCGCCTGTTAACAGTCCTTTTAGGTCCGCCCCGGGGATGACCAGCACTAGGAGAGGCCCATTCAGCGATGCCTACTTTTCTCTCATGAGCTAAAGCCCATATTTATATCAGGCTTGAAAAACTGTTCGTGTTTTATTATTTTTTTCTATTTATAGGTACTAATTTCGAGGCGAAGTGATTTCAGCTTTTCAAAACACTGACACAAAAAATCAACAGAAGGCACTTCGCACTTTGAATCCTCTTAGAAGACAATAGATCGACTTTTTGGTTTTGGTTTTTTTGAGGGAAAGTGAATTGTCAAACCCTTCTGCTTGATTTTCAAATCATTTAAAATGTACGTTTGTTTAGTCCGTTTACGTTCAACCGCGTTTTTCTCTTGGTTTCGGTCTTCAAGGCATACTGTTTGATCTGCGCAGGCGCTTTTACGATCGGTGACTCGTTTTAATTGCGTGACCCAAAATGTAAATTGCTGTGGGCTTGGGTTCAATTTGCCACTGCCTTAAGCGATCCATCACAAAACTCAACTGGTAAGTGATAAGCTTAGTAGAAGGCATTTGCTTTCATTAAATCATTTTTTGTATAGCCCTTTGATTGTACATTTTGTGAAGTTATACCTGTACTATACGAGTTGTGGCTCAAGCACGCGAACATCCACTGTCGTCGCTAAATCGATCTTGCGTAACGTAGCCCTTAAAACTCAAACGGGATAAATATTTTGAAAATGTAAAATTTATGAAAATGCATCAGTTTACTTTTGTTCAAAAATACCCCGCACTAAGGTCCACTGCCTTACGTACCGGGTCCCGACCCCTAAACGTCCAGTTGACTTTAAGCGGGGCAAAAGTGCATATGTCGACTGCCCCTTACTTTTATAATTGCAGTTTTGAGACATTTTAGATCCACTTAAGACTGACATTTGTCCCTGATTTGTGCTCCATTGATTGATCCATGTGTAAATTACTAATGAATAAATTACTAATGAAATTAGTTCAAAATTTATGCCGATGTGCATTTGGAGTTTTTTGTTTTTCTTTATGCTTAAACACTGTAATTGAGAATTGTTACCTCATATCTTTCGTGAGTGTGTTGCGCGACGCCGAAAGCATCAATTATAGAGGAAAAGTCGTTACGCCACGTTGTCATGGCAGTAAAATTTCTGGATGACGACAAACCGAAAACGTCACTCAAAAAGTAAATTTGTACTGTTCCAAAACTTCATCGATCTAATTCACTATCATTTAATTTGCCAACAATGTTCGCGATTTTTTCTGGGGTTAAATCCGAAAGGACCGTATCTAAAATAAGTTTAGAAAAAGAAAAAGAAAATTTCTGTGTTGTATTCGCGTACTCCTTTAAGCCGGTGCGTGAAATTAGAAGGTTTCATGTCGCGGTCGTACAACGACGACTAAGAAATGTACAAAAAAGTGTGATGCACGTGCAAAGTTGTTGTTTTGTAACTATAAACCTCTTGCTTTTTTTGCCGTTCTCGTCGCCGTCGCTGTCGTCGTTGATTAAGCTCCGTACCGTTGTGATCCAGAAATTTTGCCACCATGGAAGCGTGACGCCACACTTCTCTCGATTGCTTGTTGTGGGCAAATGATCGGGTTTATAGGATCAATCATGTGAAAAGTTTTAACCCTATTCAGACTGGGCTTCATGAAATTTACACACAATGATCATCTCCGTACAAAGAAGCCCCACACCCAGTTTTGGCTTGCCACGCCCAATGATGACGTCACAGTGACGTCATATTCCAATTTTTCAATGTTTCTTATTATTTTTCCACTTAGATACGTAAAATATCAATAATATTGGTAAAGTCGTCTCTTTGTTATCCTTTCTTATGAACTAGTAACAAGGAAACACTTGTACAGCGAGAAAAAGCAATAGGAAGCAATAAAATTTAAAATGTGAAATGGTTGTCCGCCATCTTGGATCCGCCATCTTGGATCCGCCATCTTGGATCCGCCATCTTGGATTTCCGTTTTTTTGTTAAAATTATAATTTAAAGCAACTTTCAAAGGGGACAAAGCTCAGAATGTATAAAAGAAGTATCAAACTAATGTTTATTACCCAAACAAATGACTTTGGAATTGTTATTTGGAAAATAGAGCAGCGTATTTGTCAAAGCAAAAAAGTGACAAATTTTACCCCACCCCTCCTCCCTAAATATTCGATGTTGAAACATTTTGATGTTATTCAAAAACTAGTCCCAAGCAAAGAACATTTTAACAACAAAAAGCACTATAAGTGTAAAAACGCGATCTTAAAAGAAAAAAATCACTAGTTTTTAAATTTTCCAAAACCTATGTGTCAGAAACTGGTTGCCATGGCAACATGATTAATCACATGGACATGGTAATTATACCAAAATGTTCTTAGATAAATTTTAGGAAAAGTCAGAAAATTTGAACGTCATAGCTCTTTTGATGTAGGAGTTATCACGATTTTGCCGGAGGGGGGGTTCGAAAAGCCCCCCCCCCCCCCCGTCTGAATAGGGTTAACAAAAGCATCTAAAATTTTGCCTTTTTCCCCCTTTATACAGCTATTTCGAGAAAGGTTGTCGGCAAAATGTGCTCGCGACAATCCCGAAAGGTAATATAGGATATGCAATACACTGTTCCTGACAGTGCACGTGTAGCTGTCAAAACTTCTTTGTTGCTTTCCTTTAGCACGCGCAAACATACGTCCACGGCCGCTTGTCCCATTCTTTCAAATTTCTTTGAAGAACAGCGAACTTAAAACCACCCAAAATACCTTTCATGATTGTCGCGTGCACTTTTCCGACAACCTTTCTCGAAATAGCTGTATTAAGTGTTTGTAATGTCGTTATCCATAATTCTCTTGCCTCAAAATTCTCTTTTCTTCCTCAAATTGCTGGTGTTATGGATTGCCGATCAGAAATGGAGAACTCGCAAAAAGAGGAAACTAATTCCGAAGGAAACGGTCATTTATTTGACGTATTAGGTAAGCAGTTGGTATATATATCGCACATCATAATCCAAAAAGTGAAATACAAAAGAAGGTGCATGTCATCCGACAGTGGCACCCTTGCAACCACGGTTTCCTCCTAAGGCACTGGAAGCACTGTTTGGTCTATCCACTCTCTGGTCCGCAGAGGCTCCCGATGGGTATCTCAACAAAACTAGCAATATTCGAAAACAGAAAGCGCGCGGGGGACGCTGGGAAAAGGGAAAAGGCTGTTTCCCCTTCCCATCGTGCCCCGCTCGCTTTCTTTTTCTTCTCTCTTGCCTCCCTACAACATAAAAGGGCCTCTGCGGAAGAGAGAGGTCTATCCAGAGTACTTTTAGATCTCTAGAAATGTATCCTAAGCTGCGCTATGAAAATTTGTATTTAGGGGCGTAGCTGCCTTTAAGCCATTAAGCCCGAGCTTAACAAAAATTTGGGTTAAAATGAGCTCCAGCAAGGAATCGCATGTTAAAAGGGCAAGAAGTGCACCTATTACAGGCACCAATGTCTGTCGCAGTGATTGGCGGACAAAATTGGCACATGATTTGCATATACAGTGTAGGAACGTACTACTGAATCTGTCGCTGAACGTCATCTCGGTTTTTCAAGTAGATACATTGCAAGGTTCTCTTAGTTTACTTTGCCAGATTACCTGGTAGAACTATTTTATTGGTTAAAAGCTGGAATTTTTAAGGGTCTCAACTCTTAAATAACATCTGGTTAACCAATTTTTTTCCTTTTTTGTTTTTTGTGTAGTTTGTTTTTAAAAGGCGGTGCTGGAAACTAACTTAAGGAACTGACCATCGCTTTAATTGGCTTTGAAATATTTTAAGTGTAGACAGATGGCTCCTACAAAAAAAGTTAATTTCATGCCATGGAAATGCACCTTCCAATAAACCAATCCATCTGAATGGTTTTTAAGTTTACTTTACACTCCCTGCCGGCTCCCTCTCTTCAATTCAGAGTTTCTACAGTTTCTACAACGCGGACTTGGCCACGTCCTTGGAGTTAGGCATGATTTGTTCATAAATAGCATGCGATGATAGAAAGATGCAAAACCAAGTCTCTCGCTCTTCTTTGCAGATCATTATCGCAATATTGCAAACAAGTATGACTACTTCTACAAAGAAAATCACCAAGGTTACATTCCCATCCTAGTGAAGTGTTTGGACTTAAAGCCAGAGCACGTGGTCGCTGACATTGGTAGTGGAACGGGTGCCATTGCAAAAGATCTCTTTGAATTATCAGGGCTTAATAATCCTATTTGGTGTGTAGACCCAAGCGTGGAAATGCAAGAAGTTGCTCGACAAAAGAAAGGGGTTTACCCGGTTGTGAAAACGGCCGAAGAATTTTTTGCGAACCCGCAAATCAGAGAGAGATTTGACAGAGTGCTAGCTACTATAAGTGCACATCATTTTATTAATTCCAATGCTGTTTACAAGGGAATACTTCGTAGTCTTCACCCTGGAGGTTTTTATGTGCAGATAAACACCCTCAAGAGCAGTCTTCCATCATTCAAAGGCGTAAAAAAGCTTATGAGACAATGCTTTGAGCGAGAGAAGGAAATCTCATCTCCTTTGCTAAGGGAAATCGGTTTGAATGCAAACATTTCCCATCAAGAGTTCATCTTTTCCGCGGCTGTGACAAAATCCAAGTTGTACGAAAAATATCGATGCCGCTTTATAAGTGTATTGCAGCATTTAAGCGATGATCAAATTGAAGAGGGTATAAGCGAGTTAGACAATGAACATTATCAAAATGTTAAAGATGATGAACTCATCAACTACGAATGCACAGTGCTTGTGACAAAAGTTGAGAAAGTAGCTTGAAACATCCTTGATCCGCATGGTAGACTGTCATTTAAGTGACTCTTATATGATAGTAGATTGCAGGGTTTCACTTTTAAAGTTACGTCATCAAAAAACAAAATCAAAACCGTTCAACAGATAAAGTCCAGAATGCGGGAAGTGAAAGAAGGTAAATTTGCAAAGATCTCCGCCAAGATTCGGGTTATTGCAATGTTTCATATGCGAGTATTCGAGTTTATAGAGCTTTGTATAGAGATGCCATAACTGTATTGTATCGTATTGTATTGCCAGCATTGCATTGTATTGTATTTTTGTATATTGTATTGTGTTTTAGTAGGACATTATTAATAAAGAAATATGTTACTAAAAAAGAGAGGAGCACACTTACGACAACAAATACTTTGCCTCTTGCTATTGTTGTTATGAATTGTTAATTTTATCGCTTAATTCTTACCTAGAATAAAAGAAGACTACTTCTGATAAATCTAATATAATATGAATAAAATTCGAGGGTATAAGCAGCACAGAAAATTAATAAAATCTATAAAATCATATGGGCATCACAACTGAGGAACCTATTGTAATAGGTTCATTTCAATTTACTTTTGCATACTTCCTTCGAAAAGTTTTGACGGATAGACAAAGGTATACTGTAAATAAAATAATAATAATAATAAAAAAAAACAGCAACAACAACAACTACAACGCTAGAACGAAAATTGCCTCGACAACTAATTGATCAGGTAATGTGCTTTGAGAATTATGTTTAAGACCGAGCGAGGGCTTTTAGTGTATATTTTAGCGACAGAAATGTTTGAAAACCTACTAAAAAAAACAGCCACTTGAGGGAGTGGATGTGAGTTTCAGTCTTTTTAACGTACGTAGTTTAGGGCTTTGACAGAGGTTCCATAATATCTCCCGAGGACGAGAGGCCAAGTTTTATTTGGAATGCGGAGATCGGAGACTGGGTTTAAGGTGGCTAAACACAGTCTTGCGTGCAGTCAGCGGTAACTCGCGTGACGGCCCATGTCAGTTAAATTAGACAAATAAAAACGGCGGCGAAAAGAGCAATGGCACACAGAAGATGATTTCTCAAAATCTACTCATTAAAATTTTAAGATGTTTGGCAGAATTTGTACTTTATTTATCGTATTCTAAGTAATGAGAACTTTAAAATGGAAGTTGAACAGACGAATTTTATGACACATCATGAATAATTACAGTACAATTATATTATTGATTATCTAAAAACCCGTCTGTTAAATTTGGTCAAGTAAGTTTAAAATGGTAATGATTAATTATAGTAAGCTTTGTGCAAGTTTATAGGAAAATTTAATGAGCGAATTTTATGTAAACTGAGCAAAAGTGAAATTTTAACAATGTTTTAAGGTTGTATTCAATCGTTCATGTTGCCATCGAAGCAATGATGACGCCACATTTTACCTGTCAATCAAAATCTTTCAACAGTATGTTTTTCACTTGCCAAGTTTCAGCTTGTGAGCTGCAACCTTTCTCTTTCCATGATTTGTGATGACATATAGTCACAAACTGCCTAAACTGTGTTCAGCCACCTTAAGTTTTACATTAGTGGGCTGTTGGCAAAACCTGGATTTAATTTATGTTGCTGCGGATCAGGTGGAAGCTGAGGAAGTCATAGAAAGAAGGTAGAAGAAAAAATGTGGCCCATCTGTAAGAACAGATTGAACTGGCTGGAATTTACTTGAATTAACCTTATAAATCGGCTAATAATCGAAGGTGGCTCGAACTGTTGCTCTATAGTTGGTTGAACATTGTACGACTCGATCAATTTATCTCTTTCATGGCCCGCTGACGCTTTTTTATTTTTTCTCTCTCTTCTCCATACTGAACGTAATGTTTAACAAAAAAGGCTTGTTTTCGTAAACATTTGAAGTATTCTTTTCCATAGCTGACAACTATGACTGCGTAAAAGACTGTATTCAAGTTTCTGTTCAAATGCGTAAATATTAGGCTTAATTCGTAAATTTTGCTCATGTTCGATTCATGCCATCGTTTCTTTTATTGATTTTTCACGTTTGTATTTTCCATAACTGTCAGTTGCCAACAACTCAAATTTTTTATTTTTATTTTTTAGATTGGGTGTGGCCGGATTGTAGGTATTGTGCGTAGTAACAAACGGGAAAATCTCTTTTTTTTTGGCGCGAAGAGCATCGTTTCTGTCGGTGAACTTAACTTCAGTCAGTGTTTTTTGAACGAGCGTTAAAGGGTAGCCTCGTTCAAGGTCTCGTTTGGTTTGTTCAAAGTTTTCTCTCGCTAACTTAGTTCTTAAAAAACGTAATGCATTCTCCTTTTATAAAACTTTTTTCGCGATAAATCCCCGTGATATCCCCATGCTTACCATCCGCGATTTTACAAAATTTGCAATTCCCCCACCTTCTTCCCTTCGAACTAAAACAATATCGTGAATTTTCCCCTCCCCAGGGGCAGAGAATCCAATATATCCCCTTGTATTCCCCGACATATTTCCCTGGCTGGTTGGCCCGGGGCTCGCACCAAAACAGTTCTAAAAATACAGTGGTCCGTCAAAACACTGTGACACGAACGCATGGAAGTTGTCGTTTCGGGTTATGGGCTTCTGATAAATTAAAGTAGCCAGGGGAGCACTATTTTTTTCCCTCGTCAAATTTTCACCCGCGCAGGTTACTTTCGAAAGAGTTCTAACTCCAAAGTTTTAGAAAATTTTTGCTTGTGAGAACCGGAATCCCGGCCGGGAGAGTTTTCCGGAATACTTGATCCGGAATCCAAGTTCCACTGTTCCACTCGTTTTCTCTTGTGACAAAGAATCCGGAATCTAGTACCTGGAATCTGGAATCGATGATGTGGAAGCCAAAATCCAAGGCCGTCTTGGATTTCGTTACGTGGGGCAAGTAAACAAATTACAATGTATGCGCGCTCGCGTTTAAATAAGCATGACTCCTCGAGCCTCGGGACCGGATTGTTCAGAGCGGGGTTAAGATAACCCAGGGTTAGTGCGAATTTTGAATTCAGAAATAAAAGCTTAAAAAGAAAATTCAGGCAAATTCTTTTGGTCTGCATTTTGGCGACTTGGAACTGTAAAAAGAATGGGAAAATTATCCGAGAAAATGCTTTTGAAGAGAAAGAAAAGAATTCCAGATTAAAGTTCAACCCACTCTCGGCTCAGGGCCCAGTTGTTCGAACTCGGGTTAGCACTAACCCAGAGTTAAATTTTAACCCCGGTTTCTTTATCTTTTTATCAAAAGCACTCTCTCGGATAATTTTCTCTATTCTTTTTAGAGTATCCAAATATCAAATTGTTGGCAAAGAGAATTTAACTGAATTTGCTTTTTAATCTCTCATATCTGAGTTCAAATTTCGCACTAACCCAGGTTATCGCCCAGAAGTCTGGAACGATTGAACCAGCGGTTTGGATTGCGGGCGTGCTAATGTCGCAACAACATGGCGGACGTCGGCGGTGAAGAAGAATAGGCTTCGCACATTTTGAAAGAGCTGATTATTTTCGCTGGATGTGATGTGAATTCGAAAAGGGAACTGTATTTTTATTGACTTTTTCGATCAAGTAAGTTTATGAAATGTGAGTATTTTTGTACAGAAGATATCAACATTGTACAGCGAGACCTTAAGATTTTAATTAGCAGTTAATTCAAAACCCTCACTTTTCTACATGTGCTGCATTTTGCCCGTCATTCAGTTAAGCTTGTGTTCCCCTCGGGATTCGAGAACAACAACTGAACAAAGTTTGATCATCGGTGGCAGATTACAAGCAAAAAACTTTGTTTTGATAATAATTTTGTTTCTGGTTTGTAAAGAAAGGGGCCGTCAACATATTCACTTTTTCTCTGCTTATTAAAACGTTAACTGGAAGTTAAGATCATACCACCCACCCCAACGTCCCCCACCCCTCCCTCCTTTCTTATAACGTCCTTTTGTAATACAATTCTGCTGCTCCAAAAGTCACTGCATTCCAGAAGGAATACTGACATGCACTGATGTGAAAATGTCAGTGGTATCAACACATTTAACTGCTTTAAAAATGTGGTAGAAACTTCATACTCCGAATTATGCTTTCTCCTAGCTGTTCTCTTGCAAAATCTGCATATCTGCTCTTTCCTATTGATCCTTGTTATTTCCTTCTACATTTGTACATTACGGCATTCAGAGGTCAAATCCAGGATTGCTGGTACATGGCAGCCTTTTACAAAAATGCCCTGCACTAATGTCCACTACCTTACCCCCTCCCCCCCTTCCCAAATGTCCAGTTGACGTTAAGTAGGGAAAGAGAGAATATGTTGACAGCCCATAACCAGGGTGCAAAGAAAGTTGGCTTTACAGCTTGCCACTTGGGCAAGTTGTTGCTAGTATGTACACTGTTCTAGCCCAAGAATCTCTTAAGTAGCCCCCAAATTCTTTTGATGAGCAGCATTTATTACAGTTCCTCTGTAATTTGAATTTCCCAAAAAAACTTCACTTACCCTTCAGGCAAGTTAAGAACAGAATTCGCTAGCCTGATTGCAAAATCCACTAGCCCTGGGCTATCAGACACAACTTTCTTTTCACCCTGCCTAATGGATAAAAACCATGCAATTGCTGGAATCAGCAAAGGTCAGATGAGAAAATTGTGGAGGAAGGGGTGAGGGGAAAAAGGAAGAGAGAAAAACTGCCCGCATTCATCCCCAGTTTATGGTCATTTTGCCCTGGTTACCTAGCCCCTTTATTCTAGAATGCATTATATTATATTTGAAGCACGCTTGTTTTAGTTTATGGCGTACAGAACAAGGAATATAACTTTATTTTGCAGTTTAATACCAAAAAAATGCCCTCATGTGAGTTAGAAGTTTGTGACATTGAAGATGCTGTGAAGAAGGATGATCTCACTCCAAATGATCGTATCACAAAACGTGATGCTGTACTTCCCAAGGCAAGAGCAAGATCAGCAAAAAATGGCTGTATTGAGTCACCAGTTGGAGACAGCATTATCCCTGGTACACAGAAAATTTATATCAAAACTTGGGGATGTTCTCACAATAACAGTGATGGGGAATATATGGCAGGCCAGCTAGCTGCTTATGGATATAAAATCACAGGTAATTTTGTCATAATGATAATTAACAATTATTCCAGGAGGGCGCGTTGGATATGAGATGATAGATAGCCAACGAGGCGCATAGCGCCGAGTTGGCTATAATCATTTCATATCCAACAAGCCCGAGTGGAATAATTGTTTTATTAAAAACGCCCACAAAATTTTGTTGAATCGCCCCGACTAGAACAAACCGGAAAAGACAAGGGACTTCCGCTATTGACATGTCACACGTCTATCAAAACTGTCAACGCGCGAACGGACTCGCCTAGACTGCATGAATGAAAAATCAAAACATTGTGCGATGAACATTAGTTTTTTAAAAACTCATTGTGATTCTAGGATTTTACACAGCAGAACAGCTTAAAAAACCTGGCAGATAATGTGAAGGAAAGGAATTTTTAAGTGACAGCCGTCGAAATTACTATGAATTTGGATTTTCGATGCAGTTATAAAAGTAAGAACAACGGAGAAAAACTACCGGTATTACCTCGGTCACTTGTTATGAAGTTGTTTGAAGCCACAAGTTGGTTTTGCTGAACGAGAAAAGAAGCTATACTGCCACCTCGATTGCTCTAGTGAATGGCTGCATAGCCTGTATTTGTAGCTGGTTACTTGTGATTTATATTCTTGATGTCGGATAAACAAGCTGCAGTTATCTTTCGGCGAGTGACTCGATCGGCGAATGGCTTTGCGATCATGAAGAAACAACACTTGTCTTCTTTCGTAGCTGGTCAAGGTACCTTAGTTCCATGTGTTTTCATGTGTTTTTCGACAAACTTTCAAATAAGCTCTTGTGGCTTTTTTGTTTGATTTTGTCTTTTTTCTTTCGTTGAAATTGCATTTCTAGTATTCTAAGAAATGAATTAAAATGATTTGCTTCGGGCGCCGTTCTATCCTTCGCGAAAAAAAATCTCAGCTAGCTTCTAATTTTAAACTGACGCGTACACCGACCATATATGGAGAACATGGTATATTAGCTCATATACCATAACGGCTAAGCCAATCAAAATGCTAGAATTGCATTATCCAATGATTCAGTTTTTAATAATTATTATTATAATGATAATGAAGAAACACTTGGTAATTATGACTACTTTCTAGCTGTGTTAATGAGTTGATGGATCACCACTTTAAAAAAGGAATAAGACATGTATTCTCAAATTGCCTTTTGTGTAATAATAAAAAATTATGCTTTTTGTAAACCTCACTTTTGCATTATCTTTTGTGTACAGTTTGCACATGCAATGCACCAGTTTGACGAACATTAAATTTTGGATACGCATTGGCAGCATGCAAAGGCAGTTGTGCTAATGTTCTCCTTTGACTTGTTTGTGTAGTTGTACACTGTACCTGTGTATTTTGAATTTGAAGTTCAGAAGTGTGGCAATGAGAGAAGTGAGTTGGAAGGACTCTTTAATCACAGATAATTATAAAGCTACATGTCCTAGTGCAAGCTTTGTGCAAATACAATATACATGTACCCTAAAGAAACAAAATATTATTTAAAAAATGAAATTCAAAATTTTTGTATTAATATTTATGTTATGTTGGTACCTTAAAATAGTCATCTGACTAACAAACCTGAGACCAACAATGCACTCATTTTACCCTGGCTCCTCCCCCCTCTCTCTCTTTATCAGTGCTCTGTTTTTCTGGTATTTAAAGCTATTTAAAGCTACTCTGTACTGAGGAAAGACACCAACTGTGCCAATTCTTCCTTTTCTAAATTCTCTTGTGTCATAAGATTGTAAAAACAAAAAATGCTGGAATAACTGTACATTGTATGGCAGTTCGTGTCAAGAACAAAAGATAATTGCCCCATTTCATTTCCTATTGGCTATAGAATTGATGAGGAGAGTTGATAATATTGTCGTTAAATCCATCTTGTTTGATCATGTCCGTAATTCTAGCAACCAGTTTTATTTGCTACATATATGCTATATATATAGCCTTTGTTGAAATTTGATGCTGGTCACTTTGTGTCACTGTGTGATACTTAAGCCTTTTATAAACTACATCAGGGTGAGAAAAATCACCTCCTCTTATGGGGAAGTGGTTGCTTAAGTTCACTAGACTACAGGCCTACCAACCACCCTTTACTACATAACTGTGTCTACTGTATTTTATAGCTGTAAAATCTATTTTTTGTCACCAGATGATTCAGAAGCAGCTGACCTGTGGCTGCTCAATAGCTGTACAGTAAAGAATCCTTCAGAGGATAACTTTAGAAATGCAATCAAAAGAGCACAAGAGCTTGATAAACACTTAGTTGTCGCAGGTTGTGTTCCTCAAGGTCAACCCAAGCACCAATCCATCAAAGGCATCAGTGTGATAGGGGTAGGTTTGTGTGTACTTCATGTATGTGTGTTGTGTGAATGTTAATTTTATGTTTCACAGGGGTTTCAATAAGCACCGATGACCAATGAAACACGTTGACTACTTTTGTTAGAGAAGTCAGTTACTTCTTTTGCAAAAGAAGAAGCAACTAGCAATCGAAATGCGTAGCCTGATATAAACACAAGAGGGGTTGGGAGAATTCAAGACAGTTATGCAAACCCAAGACGAAGTCATAACAGTTGAGAATTCTCCCAACCCCTCTTATGTTTATATCAGGCTATTATAGGAAAAAAGTTGGTTTTTTATTACTTTCATAAATTAACTTTCCCAAAAAAACGCAAAACTCTTTGTTATGGCACTGATTAAAAGAGAAATTCTTACCAGTCGCGAAGTCTTGTACATAAAGTCTGGCACACGAAATCTTGCACACGTAAGCAGTTCTTGTTTTGCAAAAAAGATGATTCCAAAATACAAATTTTCTCATTTAAAATGTCAACTTAAGTGATAAAAAGTGACACAGCAGGTTTGTAAAGATTTTCCAAGTTTCAGCGGACCAGGAAATGGTAAATTAAAGTAAACTTGTTGAATTTTCAGCTCAAATACTTTTTCAAATTTGTGCTTGTGTGATTAGCACCCAAAAAGCAAAACATCTTGATGTCATAACAATGTTTACATACTCTCGTGCAAACAAGCATCTCGGCCAATCAAAGTGTGCATACTATCTTAGTTATTTTAATAATGTTGTAAACAATTAATATATCATAAAATATCAGTGAAAGCTTGTTATGACGTGTTTTCTAATTCACAAAGAACCACTGGGTTTATTGTTTGCTTTGTCAGTTGGTTATGTGAATGATGTACATTTCAGTCATTTTTTCACACGTTTCTGTAGGGATTTATGCAGGATTTGTTCATGTGCAAAACTGTAAGCTGATAATCGGCTGTTTAGTATCGTTAACGCTTTTCAGATGACAAACAGTTGTCATCAGATTTATTGCACTGTACTTTCACACAATGTTACGTATTATATACCGTAAATTTACAAGTTGGCAGTGAACTTTGTTTAAAGATCGCCTGAAAGAGTTTTGATTGTCCTATTGGGTGATTCCAGAAAATATCCATACCCTACCACGGGTGGCATGAGTATTTTAACCCCCCCTTGCCCTCGGAAGTTCCAAAATGCTTATCCCCCCCTTGCCCTCCGAATTCCAAAATCGCTAACCCCCCCTCTCCTCCGGAATTTTCCACTTTTGTTTCAGACCCTTTGGAATTCCTGTTCGTGTGCCTAAATCTTCAAACGAGCGAGAAACTTGCACTTTTTCCCTCTGCAAAAGAATTCTGTTCACAATTTTTAGTCAGACGATCGAGCAACTCAAGTTTGTTAATGAATGAAAAGTAACTAGGTATTGTAATTTTTTTAGGTAAACCTCTTACCGAATCTTCCAGTTCTATTGGCAAATATACGTCCATTTAAGGATATCAGCTCCTGGAATAAATAGTTATTTCGAGGAAAAATAACTATTTAGAACTGAATGATCAAATGATCTTGCGCATAAACAGTTTTGAATTAAACAGCGCATCAAAAGGCACGCTGTCGGATTTTACTACCTACATGTTGGCGTGAAAATCGGCGTGAAATACAAAATTTGTCAGGCGTTCTATTTGGAAACGAGAGACTGGTGCGAGTTTTCAGCACGCAACAACACATCGTCGATCGACAATCGGCGAGAAACACCGACTTGGTTATATTTTTATTAATCAGTTGACTAATTCATCATCTTTAAGGCCTCTTCGATGTGGAGCTTGTTGCAAAAGCCCATCTGCTTACCCATCTGCATGAACGCATACTTCTTCCGTGGTCGGTTCGTGCTTCATTTACAAACTGGGAATGTTAACAGGTCAGCGATTTCAAGCGGAGCTTTTGCCATCTTTCCTCTGGAAATTCACTGAATTCAGAGCTGAAACACCCCCCCATGCCTTTGGAATTCCAAACTGCGTTACCCCCCCAAGTCTTCGGAATTCCAGTTCAAGAAACCCCCCCTCTCCCTCGGAATTCCAAGATGCCGCCCGTGGTATGGTATGGATATTTTCTGGAATCACCCATTGTTTCCTTGAATGAAGTGATTTTGTATGATACACCATTAAAAGTGACAGTAGACCACGCCCAGTTAGTATTTTTTAGTGATCAGGACTGTATTAAGTGGCCACCTGTATTGGCGGCCAGTTGCTCAAGTCCCGAGGGTGGCCGTTATATTATACAGGTTTGACTGTTATTGAATTATCATTGTTTTTTTGTTAATTGCTTGAAGGATTTGGTTGTATGGCTGTTAAATCAAAACTTGAATGTAAGCTACATTTTTTTTTAAATTGAAAAACACACTTTGTTGTCCAGCCAGCAGGAAATCAAAATTAATTTTCTAAAGGAGCATGCTCCCATACCCCCTGGAAAAAGGGGACTAATGGCCTCTTGTTGATACTGTCGGTTATTCTAATCAAACCTGCTGGCTACTTCAATTTTTGTCAAAACAGCCGGTTTCGAATTCAGTTTCCCCCCAAAGAGGTAATGGTAATGTGGAATTTAATGCATGGCTTGTTTATGAAATTCAGAATTATGTTGTACTTGGATCTTACATGGCATTGTAATACTGTTGGACTTCCATGTATGACCACCTCTAGTAAACGACCACCTCCCATAAGTAAATCCATTATAAGAATTTTTCCAGTCAAAGCCTTGTAATTGGAACCTCTCATAAACGACCACCTCTCGTACAATGTAAGCAACTGTGGCCCCTTTTTAGGATCATCCATTTTGGTTTTAGCATTTCCCGTTGTTATTAACCTCTTCCATGACCAACCACCTGATACAATGGTCTGATCTCTGTGTTCTCTGTATGTCAGTGATTTTGTTACAAATAGTTATGGCGCCGAGTCCTGGGACTCGTCTTGTGAAAATATCATAAGTCCCAGTCCAGAAACATTGAATCCCAGTTCATAAAACAATGATTTCCAGGGTCTTTTGTAACCGCACAGTTAATCTGAAGACAGACTCTAAAACTCCGTATTGTTTGGTTCCAGAAAATGTCCATACCCTTCCCAGGGAAGACTCTTTTATTTGCACCCCTGACCTCCCAGGATTTTCCATTTCAGGGGGTCTTTGATGACTTTGAAAATTTAAAATTTGCAATCTTACCTATCAAAACAGATAATCCCCAAGCAGTTGCTTTCTTGGTGTTTTTAGGAATTGCATCATTGAATAAGGGAATCAGTCTTGCATCTCACAAATTGTCAAACTTTGAGTCAGCCATAGCTATTGTGTAATGACAGTGGTGTGTTGAATTTACACCACGACTATTACACCATGTTAATGGGGTCAAGGTGGTTGTTTCATGACAACTCAGTATCATGTGACACAGGCTCGGGAAATTATAAGGATTTGGACAAAACGCAAGTTAAATTATTCCCTAATTTCACAAGTATACCATTTGATTACCTATTAATATCATGGGTGACGAATTACGTTAGTAAGCAAGGATTTTTGACTTATTTATCCTCCTGGATCGTATCGATTGATCGTGAACTCCACTCTCAAACGTTTAGAGCTAAAATTTGGCTTAAGTTTTCAGAATTTTTCGACAACATACCTCTAAGAATCCTTCTTGATGTGCTCTTTCGTGTTTTCAGGTTTTCCAAAGTGTCTTTTTATGCCCTGACGTCTTCATTCATGACATTTTAAAACTTCGTCGCCATCTTGAAACGGAGACGTACGGCAGGTTGCCATGGCAATTTAGTAATTTCACATGTGAAATTACAAATTAACGCAGAAATTTCGCGCCAAAATCAAGGAGTAATTCGTCACCTATGATATTAAGCCAATTAAACACCGAGTAGAGTCCTCTAGTAACCATGAGTGCTATTAGTTAAAGCATTGTTTGTTTTTTGTGTTTCTCCTCAGGTGCAGCAAATTGACAGGGTTGTTGAGGTTGTGGAAGAAACATTAAAAGGTGAAAGAATTATTTTTAAGCCCGGGCTGTGCTCTTGCAGTGCCTGCAGGTAGTCCATGTGGATTTCTTAATTGCATCAGTTTTTTTGGTAAAAAAGTCTACCGTATGTCATTTTGGATTCCCTACCAATTATTTTCATAGAGCACAGCTTTGAATTGAAATTAAGCAACAAATGCCACCGTCCCCCCTTTTTATGGGCAACACATTTTGGAAAGAGAAACGATTGAAGACAGAGGAAAATTGTTGGGATCAAACATTTTAAATTGTTGTCTAAAGATAACAATGCCCGATTTGCATGAACTAGGTCTTAAAATGAGGGAATGCGATTTCAAAGAACTTAGCTCTCCCTAGGGTGGGGCCATGTCCCTCACTCCACTACCCCCAGGAATGTGCTCTTCTTGGGCATATGTTTTGCCTTACTGGCCATGAATGGTCCCTTGCCTGCTGAGCTAAAATTTAGGGAGAAAACTGGGATTATATCTGAGGAACGATTGCAGAAAATCCATACTGGTGACATGTCACTACCCATATCTGGGTAGTGCTTCTGATTGGTTGTGGCAAATATCCCTTACAGCAGGGCCAATCAGAAGCACTACTCACATCTGGGTAGTGGTGCATCATCAGTATGGAATTGCTGCACTTGTTCCTCAGATGTCATCTTACAGGTAAACCAGTGGTGGTGTTTCAAATATTAATGTGGTTGGCTTTTTCTCAGGCTAATAAAATTTGCATTGTAGATGTAACCTAACCCAAGTTAGTAACTTTTGCAAAGCAGCGCAGGTAACCTTGTTCTGCACCAACCAAACCACCAGCATAATAACGTATTGAACTGAGAAGATGTCTAAGGCTTGTTTCAATAGTTTCCCTTTCACAGTCTTATCATTTGCACATAAATACTATTCAAGATGGCTAATAACAATTATTATTTCCCACAATCCTGTCTATTTACAGGTCATACTGTCAGACTACTTGGTCAAAAGAAAATTAGCGGCAAAAAGGCTGGGGGAGCACCTCTAGATTTGCCCAAAATCAGGAAAAATCCCCTTATAGAAATAATTGCTATAAACACTGGGTATGTAAGTATGTGTATCAACAACTAGTGCTGAAAATAAAATGTGTGGTAATTAGAGTGACCATTGGCTGTTGCCAGCCATAGTTCAAACAGAGTGATAACTAGATCTGGCGGCTTCTGGGAGCGGTACAAGTAGAGCTTTGACAGTATTTTAGTAAAAGTATTGTTATTACTTTTCTAAATACTGTACTAGATCAAAAGTTTATGGAACAAATTAACAACAATTTTCCATGGTCTATAGTCTTATTGACAACTGAACAGAAATTATGTCAAGGCGTTCAAAGCTCAGTTGGAGGCGAGTGGTTTCACTGCAAAGTTGTGAAAATTTTGACTTCATTTCTATGGTCGGTAAGAGTATAGACAATAAAATTGTTGTTGACTTATTTTTACAATAACATTGACAGTTTTTGGTGTTTATTTTAGTTGAAGTTTCTTGGAAAATCGGTTTTGCAAGATAGGTAAAAACTAAAAATAATAAAATAAAATATAAAACAATAACAACAAAAAAATGCCCCAACATCACGTCATTTCTATGGTCTCCACTATTCTGGGCCATTGCTCTCAACCAGTTGACCAGCACACAAGAAATAACTCAGTTATTGTAAAAATATCAGCTACTGACAAACAAATCTGACATCGTGTAGAACTGATAAGTCTGAAAGAATTGTTGGTGGTAATATTATTGGTGTGTGACAAATGCAGACCACAGATTGCAGACTGGCAGTTAAATAAGGTCAACATTGTTGTTAATTGCTCTAACAGATTCCCTATCCCTAAATTTCAAGTCTTATAAAAGTGTAGTTTTAGGCACAGGGAATCTGTTAGAACATTTTTACGATAATGCTTACTTCGTTTACTTGCCAGTCTGCAGTCTGCATTTGTCGTACACAGTAATATTATTCAATATTTAGGTGTCTCAACCAGTGTACATACTGTAAAACAAAACATGCACGAGGAGACCTGGGAAGTTATCCACCAGAAGAAATAGTGGCCAGAGCTAGACAAGCATTTGAGGGTAAGCGCTGTATAAAATGGTTAAATGAATAAAATAGAATGAAATGAAGGAAATGAAAAGGGGGACTTTACCTGTTTTATGGTTCTTTAATAATTATTGTGTTTTCCTTAGATAGAATTTTTATTCTGACTTCCTCCTCTTGTTATTTAAAGGGTTTATTTGTCATTTGTTTTAACGCCCATTATTATTTCGAGAGGCACCAAATAAATCCTAATTTAGGCTAGGTATCAAAAACATCTTTTGTTTTTGTTTTTGTTTTTGTTTTTTTTCTTCTAAATACTGGTAGTTTAAGCTACAGTGCAGCTGTTTATTATTGTTTTTGTAAAGGCAGAAATGGCCAAAGTTGTAGACAGTTTCAGAATAAGATTCCCAATCTTTTGGGTATGTTTGATGCACTTGACTAGAGTTAAGAGTATTTCATACGATGTGGTTGATTGAAATAAACTGTATTCAATAGAGGGAGTTGTTGAATTGTGGTTGACAAGCGAAGACACAGGAGCCTATGGCAGAGACATTGGAGTGACATTACCTGAGTTGCTATGGCAACTCGTGGAAGTTATTCCTTATGGTGGCATGTTAAGAATAGGAATGACAAACCCACCATACATCCTGGAACACTTGGAGGTAAAGCAATTGGTGTTGATTAAAAGAGGTTATTAAGGGCTGTCGAAGGCAAATAGAATATTAGTCAACCACCGGATGGACTGTTTAGGTTGTTTATCGTTTACATGGACAAACCGGTTGGTTCACGGTTTGGATGAATGGCTAGAAAGATTCAGGACTGGTAAATTTCTTCGTGGAATCGCGTTTATGATTTGCACAAATCAGTTCCATTTAAAAATGGTCGACAAGGCCTGAGACTGGAATTAAAAATGGTTTTAAAAAAATGAAACACGAATTTTCCGTTTAAAACATTCCGTCCGGAAAAACAGGACTGCCTTTTCAGATGTTCCGTTGGTCCCGGAAAGTTCGCGCTAAAACGACCCAAAAAGTCGTGTTCCATGTACTTTCCAACTAGATTTTCCTGAAACTTTTTGTATCATGGTAAACAACCTTACAGTCCTCTATATCCCCGTAACATCATCGAGACCGAGTGCTTGCTTTAATACAGCAGTAAGTACTGCGGAGGCTGGCGTCAGGGTTTTAGCAGTGGGAGGAGAAACAGAAGTTTTCGTAGTCGTCGTGGCAGGTTGTAGGTTGTAGGTGATAGATCGATAATCGTTTTGCCTAGTCTTCTCTTACTGCCGCCATCCTTGAAGCATCTCTCACCGTGAACGTTTGACTACCCATAAATTTTGTTCTATTATATCGCTAAGAGTCGCTGGATGAGTAGTTAAATTATTAACATAGACAATAAAGCATTTTCTGACTTGATGTATTTATTCCCTATAGGAAATGGCTAAGATCCTTAGTCACCCTCGAGTGTACAGTTTTTTGCATGTTCCTGTCCAAAGCGCATCAGACAATGTGCTCGCAGATATGAAAAGAGAATACTCTGTTGACGACTTCATGCATGTTGTTGACTTTCTTAAGGAGAGGTGAGAGTCAGTTTTTGTTACTAGTTTACACCTTGCCAGCATAGCCTTTCCAGTGCTGACAATTCTCCGAGATAATGCGGGAGACTGTTTTCTCGGTCTTCAGATTAGAGTCTAAAATCTTCCGGATAATCGCCGAAGTTTGCCATTTCTCTTTCTGACAATGAAATTTCAAATATTTGTGTTGTTTGAGCTATTTTACCGCTAACATCGAACGTTTCCTCACAAACTCCGGTATGCCATTGTAATATAGGCAATAGTGTGATTAGTGGGAAGTAAGCCAATCAGGTCAACGCTACAATTCCAATAACATCTTTTTCGCGCTTTTTTTTCACAAATGATGTCATGTGCCGTGCATTATGATGTCATCTATCAACCCTTCCCTATCAATTCTCAGTATTTGAAGACGTGGGGTTGATAGCCCTGCCTTTCTTCCGTTTGCTCGATTTTGGCGTTCTCGAGAAGACTCTGCATGAATAGTCCCTTTCTCGGCTTTTTTGATCTTTTGACTGGGAGTAGTCTGCGCCGCAGACACTCTAAACCTTCTCGATGCGTGAGCCGGCTGCAAGCGCAAGCTCACTGGGAGCAGTTAGCGAAAATTCGTTAACACGGCTGACAAGAACGCTTTTTAAATAAAATTAGTAAAAATGCCAAGCTAACAAAATTAGCACGTACTTTTATTTCCCAACTGTTTCCTTGTTTACGTGAGGTAATTCCTCAATTCCAGCCACGTTTGTCCCACTTTCCGACAAAGGTATAATTTATGCGTTATTGAACGGGACCTGCGGAACTCCGTGCAAGATTTTGAACGGCAAACAGTACTGCAATCGTAACAGAATTTGCACGGTTCCGTGTAAAGGGGTTGAACAGGTAAGAAATTCGTCCCTTTAAAAATTTGTCCGGATCCTTGTAAACGGTGTCTTATACTCCCTAGTGACAGAGTAAAACTGACATTAATATGGGGTACAGTGCAAGCACTGTTTTATTACTCTTGGCCGTGCTGGTTAACCCTTTCACTGCCAAATGTGACCAAAGGTAAATTCAACAAAAATCCCAAATTTCATTGTGGAAAATTTTTTAAAACAATTAAAACCACATGAAACTACTTCCAAAGAGATTTCATTTGAATGGCGCACCATAGGATTTTGTCCACAGACGTAAAGTTAGAACCACCTCACAAACTCCATCATCCACTCTGGCAGTCAAAAGGTTAATGTTATTCTACAACCTTTCTAATGCCTTGCATGGAATCAAATGCATAAGGTTAACGTTCAATTCTTTTTGATTAACTTCTTTTAAGGGTACCTGGCGTGACCATAGCAACAGACATAATCTGCGGCTTCCCTACAGAAACATGGGAAGATTTTCAGGAAACTGTAGCATTGGTTGAACGGTACAAGTTTCCCAGTTTATTTATCAATCAGTTTTATCCACGTCCAGGAACTCCAGCAGCACGAATGAAAAGACTCCCGACTGAAGAGGTAATTTATATCGAAGACGTTCTTCTACTTTCAAACACATCACTCACACAGAGTTGTGTCACGAGATGCTGGAATTCTAACTTGCATTTTCCTCAGAGGCAGAATAACAGTTCGCCATGCTGTTGTGAAATGATCGGCGCGTGTTGAACCGAGGATGAAAGGGGCGATTGAGTGGACTTGACGAAGATTGAGGATTCATCTGTTGCAAACGGGCACCATTCAATCCCTTGTTTTTTACCCACATCTAACTTGGTCGAACATTGTCCAAATATCCAATAGTGTTGATAGGTATTTCATCAACGTGTTAGGGTGGTTTGACACGTCATGCTACTGCCGTTCTAAGCTGCCTCGACTTCAGCACGACTGTGGCAGGACTTGGTTTCAGACGTTGAATTTAACTCAGTCGAATCAAATAGCTGTTGCGGAAAACAGAACTAAAAAATAAGAAAGCGGTTTTGGGAACTTTAGTTTATAAATGTATTCTAATGTAATTACAATTCATGAATTGAGTTCGGCGCGGCGATAGCACGACGTTTGAAACCAAATCGTGCCACTGCCGTGTAGCACGGCAAAGCTTTCCGTGCTACACTGCAGTGACACGACTTAGTTTCAAACAAGGTGCTACTGCCGTGCTTAAGTCGAATAGACCACTTTCTTTATACTAAAATTCATCCTTGGCTACAAGGTTAGGTGGGATAAAACAAAAGAAATGTGTTGTTCATTGCTGAACGTCAAGATGATTTTGTTTGTTTTAACCGTCAAGCCTCGTAGCCAAGTATGAGTTTCAATCAATTGAGTTTGGTAAGGCAGTAGTGCGAGGCTGGAAACAGGCCCTGGATCCATTTATTGCGTTTGCTTGTGTACAGTTTATTAGCCATTATTGAGCTATCGTGAACAATTTTTTCGGTTTGGTTTAAAGGTGAAGAGACGAACAAGAGAAGTTTCCAAAGTATTTCATGGATACCACCCATACGATCACAAGGTATACTTCCATTTCGATAGTTTCTTTATTATAATCACCGTTTTTTGAAAACTAACAGAACTTGGAATGTGACATCAACTCAACCTGCCTGGCAAATATTGCTAAAGCTGAGCTTACTTTTAAGGGACAGGTTCACAGTTCAACGCATGCGCGTTAATGAAAATGCTGTTTTTCTGTCGGAACATGCTGTATCATCTATGAAAGCAATATGATCATGACATAATGTTGTCAGAAAACCGATCTGCACACTCTCCTGGCAGTCACTTGATCAACTTAGGTGCAAATAGCTGTAAGTTAATCAACCATGGAATAAAACCCTCATGGCATAATCCACTTATTTTCCTGCGATTTTAGCAATCCTCCATCGCACTTCAGGTTACTCTAAAATACACTTGAAATACACTGTGAGATCGCTGAGATACATGTGAAAGGGATTATTAACCGATAGAGTTAAAAATAAATTGGAAAAAAAGTAATTTGATTAATGAGCATGCGCTGAACCGTGAACCTGTCCCTTTCAATACATAATCGTTTCCTACTTTTTTTTCCCTTATTCTTTATTTCGTTCTTTAAATCGCCCCATGTATGAGAGTCCAGGACCGCAATGAATTCTAGATTCCACTCTGTGGATTCCGGATTGTGTGGCAGAAAAGAGGAGTGTATTCAGTGTTAGAGAAGCACTGTTCGTGAGCTTTTCATTTAACGGTAACACTTCCAGGATTTCGTCCGCATGATGGAAAGTTATAACCTCCGTTTGCTGCGTAATAAATAGGGTCATAGGAAAGTGCTTATTTTCTCGTTTAAGATATGGTTTTGTTTGCATCCTTTTAAAGGTTGGTGAACAACAAACAGTTCTTATAACCGAGGATTCAAAAGATGGAGCTCATTTTGTGGGTCATAACAAGTTTTATGATCAAGTAAGTGATTGGAATCAGTGTGCATCCGTCCTTCCTTCCTTTCTCTTGTTCTTCAATTTAAAATTTTGTAGACTGAAAGACAGCCATATTCTTGCGATCGTAAACAATGCAACCCCCCTCAAACGAAAAGTCTGGCGTAAGTGTGAGACGGAGAGCGGGACTCGGGAGAATCATGCGCCCTACGGTGCGTGTAAGTTTCTCGAGAATCCACGCAAACGGTGCTTCGGAGCAGCGGTTCTGATTAGCAAACTGACTATTTAGAAGCGTAAACCTACTCAATTATACTAAAGAATTTTACGTACACTGTCAAGAGACTGATTTATCCTGCATGTCGTAAATGAACGCTGTAAAAAGTGCTGTCCAGTAACTTCGATATGGATAGTCGCATTCAGATTTTACTCAGACTTAAGAGTACGAATTTTGTCACCAGGCGTCAGAGTGGAAAATCGATAAATTTCAAGGGACTTTGTTGTGATGGTCTTGCTGTGTTAAGTCAATTTAAGTCATTACTCAGTGTCTTCACCCATAAACAAAACGCTTTTTTAGAGTTGTGAAGAAGATATCAACAAATTTTATCAGGGAGCGGAGCACTAACTGTAACAATGTTTTTGTTGAAGATGTTTGCTGGTATGGCCTGAAAACAAGTTCTAATCGGCTATGTTCATCCTCGTTATCCGTAGGCAAAAAAAACGACAAGAAACGGATTCAATTCCTAAATATAGTCCTAAATAACGAAACTAACCGTAACATTGTTTTTGGTGTGTTCTCTTTCTTTCTTTTTTTTTTTCCTACCCGGCACTCCTTCTCCCGTAAGGATCAGTTCACTGTTTTCAATTTGGTATTAAAAATTTTACTGATCCAGGTCTGCTAGAGATCCGGCTGACCCTCACTAGTTTGTCGTTGTGGTTTTGCCTTCACAAGTGTTTCTGATATAAATCAACATAAGCTTGTTATGGCGTGACAAATTTAGCCCCATTTTAGTTGGATTTAATTGACGCTGCCATAGTTTTTCAGTTTTCCGTTTCCTTGATCTTATCTTTAGGTCCTTATTCATAAAAGTGAAGGTGATCTCATGGGCAAAATGGTACAAGTGGAAATTACTTCGGCGGGAGAACACTTTCAAATGGCGCGAGTACTACATGAAACAGAGGCACGTTCACCCGGCTTAGTTGAGCCGCTTCCAAAGGGGGCGGTCAGCGGGGTTAGGACTGAAAACACGCTAGTCAAGGTGGATCAAGGACAACCGAGTCTTTGGAATGACTGGAAGAAAGTTGCATTATTTATTTTATTGGCAGCTGTTTTAATAGATGTTTTAAGACTTGGATATTTATGGATTTTAGAATAAGTTACAATGACTCAAGTGTCTTGCACTCCTTTGGGCTTTCCTAAAAAAATCCAAAAGATGGATATTCAAGTGATTCACGCCAGCGCTAATAAATGGCATGCTCGTGTCTGCTTGGTACCTGTGATACCTTGACTTCACAGGGGACCCCTGAATTGCCATCTCCAGTCTCGATTATTGTTTTAGCCAGCACGTGCGCGAACATCGTTCTATTTTAATAGAGATACAGAGATACCGGCTAATATGTGTCTTTAATTACCGGCGCCGAGTTTAAAAACAAAAAAAGAAGAAAGGAAGAAAAAAAGAAAAGAAAAGAGAGAAAAAAAACTGCTTCATACTCTGTTCTCTAGTGTAGAGCGAATGAACGAATCAAGGAAAGACCCGGGTCCGGTTCCTGAAAGCCCGATTATAGCTAGCGCTAATCTGGGATAAAAGTTTTGTTCCATTATTGTATTTTACCTTCCTTTCATTGCTTGGAGTAACATTTTGTGTTATCATTACTGTATCTCGCAGTAAAGGTTCAACAGTATTTTGAAAGCTTGAGTTGTATGTTCTTAGACAAGAGAACCTTGCTTAAAATTTGGCTTAATCCTAAACCATCTTTCGAGGAACCTGGCCCAGTGCATCGAGATGCAATGAGCGTCATTGAAGGGGTGGGGCCCGAAGCGAGCAACTTCTGCGGCCCGAATGAATTTATTTTTTAGATAAATTTTTGGGTAGTTTTTCCCGCGAGACTGGAAGCTCTATCCGTTTGTGAGCACATTCGAAGTATAAGGTTATGAATTGGGAGAACAAAACATCAATTCAAAAGGTCAAAAATACCATTTTCAACCCTATATATTCTGAGTTCGCGCCAAAATCGTTTTAAAAATAAAGTGGTTGAAGGGGTGGGGCCCGAAGCGAGCAACTTCTGCGGCCCGAATGGATTTATTTTTTAGATAAATTTTTGGGTAGTTTTTCCCGCGAAACTGGAAGCTCTATCCGTTTGTGAGCACATTCGAAGTATAAGATTATGAATTAGGAGAACAAAACATCAATTCAAAAGGTCAAAAATAACATTTTCAACCCTATATATTCTGAGTTCGCGCCAAAATCGTTTTAAAAATAAAGTGGTTAGACTAGTAAAAGCAAACTCCGTGACACGAGTACATAGAAGTTGCTTGCTCCAAGTTATAGATACTACACTATTTAAACATCTCCAAAATTCCGCAGGGGTCGTTCTTTCGTGTGAAGATAGTTAATGAGGAAGGGGAGAAGAGCGTCTAGTACCCAGATCTCTCACGGCCAAGGTAAAGCGTAAGACAGAGGGAGATCTGGATACGAAATAAGTGGGAAAGGGGAAATCTGTGGACGGAGGTAACGTCATTCGGCCCCCATTTTACCCCTTTCTCTCTTTCACCCCCCTTCTCAACAGCCATTTGGTCTCCCATTGTCGTGCCCTGGGTTCGAGTCCCGGCGTCGACGCCACGTGTGATTACGTTGTTGGTCCCCTCCTCTGGCCCGATATATTTTTCTCTGGTATTATGGTTTTCCTATCTCCAGTTAGTTGAGGAGTTTTATCAGTCCTCGAAACTGTCAAGCGTTTTGCTTGTTTGTCTTTTTTATTTATTTATGTATGTTATTTATTTGTATACATATTTTTTCAACCCCCGGCCGGAAGGCCTCTTCACACGGCTATGCGGAAATCTATATTTTAAGCCATGTTGTGTATTATTCCCTGCCACAGATTGTTTTCTTAGGTCCCCAAGCCAGGAAGTGCAGAACTCTACTCGAAAGCGCACGTTCAAAGTTCAAGCACCAGCCAATGTTTGTTTCTACCACTATGATCGTTGAAGAAAAGCACAGTGAACCCAGTGCTCGCAGCAATCGTATAAATGAAAATACGAGGATAAAATATAATAAAGTAATGGAAAAAAGCTACCAAATAGCGCTAACCCTAGCCCTGATACAGAAATCTTCCTCCTATAGATTTCCCCATGTAAATCTCTAAGAAAAGAAGAGGAAATAACAATTACAAAAATAATATGAAGTATAAAAGGACGGGAAAGTGCGACAACCATCCCTTTCAACAGCTAAAATCAAAACAATTTTTTTTTCTACGGCAACGTCCATGGTTTAATTTTAAGGCAATGCACCTGGCTTTGTCCGAACTTTGCTCGTGAGCGCTAATACCGACTTACCAATCACCGTTGCTGTTTTTGCGATGATGAGAGATGGGGTGATTTTTACGCGTGAACAGATAGCTCGAATTAGCGCAAGTGACAACTGTGATTGGCTGGGATGTGGAAGCACACCCCCACAACCCAACGTAAGGGGAATTTGGTGGCTTAGTTACTACAAAATTCCGAACAATTTCTCTTTTCACGCAAACAGTTTGTCATTTTCTATTATTTTTCTTTTAACAGGGGATTGATGAAGGACGTTTTTAGCATCATATCGCAAATTATCTGCCTTTGTCATTACGTATTTGAAAAGCTTTCGAAACTATCATTTGATGGAGATACGTATTCTCCATAACAAAAAATTGCGCGCCACAAAGCAGTCATAGCCGGCTTCGAAACCAGATGAATGAATGAAAACGTGTACATGGCGTCGTGTACGTGATGTGAAAGTTCAGCTTTAAAACTACTATTTATTCCGGCAACATGGATAAATCGGATCTCACAGAACAAGAAAAAGTTAAAGAGCTCTTAAAGGAGATACAACTTGAGCAATTCTATCGACAGATTCATGGCAAATTACACATCACTCGATTATCACATTTTGATCACGTTACAGAGGAAGATCTTGATGATCTAGGAATGGCTAAACCAGAGCAGCGAAGGCTCTTCGAAGCGCTCAAGAAAGCAAAGAAAAAGTCTCTTTTCAGTAGTTTTAGACGAAAGGTAAGGTTATTAATTTAGATTTTAAGGATTACGGCTCGCTGAGTCATTTCGTGTGGGTGGCAATATTTTGACTACGCTCGTAACCGCACTCTGTTAATTCCTTCGCTTTCTTGTTAAATTCCCACTGGAACACTTTTGTAAGTGACGTTTAGACGTTTTTCCCTTTACAATAGATACGGCTTTTGACGGCTTATAAATTTTGCATCGTATATCCCTTCACATCGTTTGTAAGAAAAACATAGGTAAAGTACAAGCGAAATTATTTTAGACAATTCAAGTTCTCGTTGATCGACGTGCCGACGGTTTTGAAGCTCTCACCGTTTATTTGAGATGTTTAGTAAATCTAAGAGCATTTTAAGTCTGATATCAAGTTGAAAGTCACATGGCCAATGAAGCCACACATGGCCATTGAAGCAACGAAAAAAATGTTTTCACTCAGTTATGGACATACAATCAGCCCATCCTAGTCTAACCTCCAACTACGAAAGTTCACGTGGCGACGGCAAATTTTCGAAAAGCGGAAGTTCTGATTTGTATTAAACGAATTATTATTTTTGTTCAGTCTACGTACGGTCACTGGTTCTTTGTGACCCGATCGAATGATTAAACCAACTGTTAGTCAAACCTTCAGTAAAGATTTTTATTTCTTAAGGCGTGTTACATATTTTCGTGTGATGAAACTGTAAACAAACCATTCTTCGCACGTTTTGAAATTAGCATAATAAACTGAACCCCCGCGAAAGCGGAATTCCTGACAAATTTCACTTAGTTGTTGCTGCGTGTTTTACGTTTTATAATACCCATGAGATCCATTTTTTTGCTTTAGCTAGTAGAAGAGCCTATGTTATGAGGACGCATCAACGAGTAAAATAAAAGTTATGTTTCGCTGCACGTGCAGATTCATGTATTGAACTCTCAAAAATGATTGATGAGGGACATTGCAATTTACGTACGAATTTATCGCTTTACGTGATAAAAATTTCAGTTTCTTTGACGAAGCGATGAAACATCTTTTCTTTGGTGATTTTAATTATTTTATTTGGTGGCACAAAATGCATAAAGTCTGGCTCATGATTTCTGCCATTTCCGCGAAGAGTTTTCAAAGCTTTACATAGAGCTCACCTATGTGTACACATTGAATTGGCACTTTGTTGGCGAAAAAGCGTTGCAATGTGCTTGGAGTGAATAAATCTTTTATCTTTAGCTGCCTACATGCTATGGATAATGACACAATACCCATGCACAAAGTCAAGTATTGCTTTGATGTAACCAAACTGTTACTTTATTATATTTTTTGCTATCCACCATACAGTGTAAACAATAATAAACAATAACAATAATCCATGAAACCTATTGGAATCCTTCTCTCTCAAACTGTCCATCTTTTAACCTTAATCCCTTCCCACTTCATTAAAGAATGCCAAAGCATTCTCCTTTTCTGTCTAAAAACTGCAAAATAAATTTATTTTTCTACTGAAGGGCTGTCTGCATTTCGTATTCTTGGTTGCTATCCTTAAAAAATTAGAATTTCTAAGTTGTTGCTACTACAGTTATTTTGGCACGTCTCACCACTTGATTGATGAGTGGTATAAGTTCTGTAGCACTATAGGACCTGCCAACCCTCATGATTTCTCTGTCAGTGAGACTTTTTTATCAGTCTTGTTTCACAGTCTCGTTGTGACTCCAAAGGAACATTCTTTTTTAATAATTAATACATCAACTTTTGTAAAGAAATATGGAAAGTTTTTACAGGGCCATAGGCTCTTAATGGCCTTGCCAAAACTCCAGAATTTATCCAGCAAAGTTGTTGGTACTGTATCACTTTTTATGATGGGTCCAGACCCACTTTTTCTGTAGCATAGATGCACCTTAAATCTTGGGTGTTGGGTACCCACTCTGTGTCCTCTGTCCAATTTTCATTGAAGTTTAAAAAAAAAAAGAAAAGAATCCAAAACACAATGGATTAAAATGATGAAATTAAAGAAACATTTTCCATGTTCCCAGACCCAGGCCTTCATATTATTGTGCCTTTGATTGCGATCTCAGCCTTTTTGAAATTATTTGTTGTCTGGCTGGCAGGCTAAAGAAAGTTCTGTCTCTGTTTAGCTATACCTAAGCAGGAAAGATTGCGGGCTTTGTTTGTGCAAAATCACATGTTCAGTTTTGCCTCCAATAACTGACCAAGCTTGTTTGAGCAAGGTGGCTGGATATTGGTCTCATTCTTTTTTTTTGGCATCTTTATGGACCTTTACATGCACATAAAAATGCTCAAAAAGAACTAGACCAATATCCCAAGCCATCTTACATGTAACCTTTCACTTGGTCAATGTATTTGTATAGTGGGTTATACATTGTATTATATCTATTTTTTTACTAGTTATAGCTATCACTAAGTGCCAACGAGCAAAGATTTTACCTATAGGTGTGCTCTGTTTAATTTGTTTAGAAAAGTCATGGATTATCTGTGACAATAAAAAAATTCCAGCAGGCAAATGCAACAGCTATATGCGTATGTTGCAAATGAATCCACCCAATGATTGGTTGAGGACAGGGCGAGCACGGGACTCACAAACATGCACATGGCTCGTGTATTCTCTGTTCTGTGTCATGTGTTCACTCAAAAACAATGCATTCTCTGTTCTGCATTATGTCATAAAAGTTACCTTACACTACCTTATGTTACATTGCTTCAAGATCCATTCTGTCTTGGAAGTTTCATGCACAGCCTTAGGCTGCCTGTTGGCAATACATGTAATATTATATTCTTTAATGACTGTATTCTGCAGTAAGAAATAAATGAACTTAACTCTGGAAATTAATGATCATTGTTTTAGCATTTATATTACATCGAAATGTCTAGAAATCTGTTTGAAATAAAATATTCCGATATATGTAATATTTAATTGGTCCAAAAATCATGGTAAAAAAGATTTGTAACATGACTTTTGTATATCCTTATTCTGGAATATTTTACAATCATTTGAACTTACCCTTCATTTACGGAAGAAAAAAAAATAAGATGGTAATTAATTGAATTTAAACTAAATAAACCTATACAATGTTTTTTTTTTCTATAGCAATGTGTTTTATATTTTGTAGAAAACAAAGAAAACAGAATCCCGTAGTGACTCCACAGCAGAGCGGATGAGTTGTTATGGTGTGTCTGGTGATTCCTTAACTTGTCTCATTAGTGAGCAGTCTCTCACACTTTTTGAGATGCTTGGAAATGGAGCCTTTGGTTATGTAAGACGAGGAAAATGGGTGAAAAGCTCTCTCAAGAAGGTACTTTGTTTTTCTTGAAAATTAATTAATAACTCTCTTTCAGTGTTTGTCTCTTGCATCTGCATAATCTTCATGTTGAAACCTGCATTAAAGGGGTAACTTTTTTACACTGTGTCATCGCTGGCTAGGTAAATGAAAATTTCATGCCGTCTTTCATAAGGGAACACAAAATTCAAGTACTGTTGCAAAATAACAGCTTATTAGTTATAAACAAATTGGTCTCCCCAACATTATCCCAAACATTTCAAACAACAAAAATGAACTTTGAAAAGCTGTTAGATAACAAGTTTTCAAAAACCCGAAATTGCAATCCGGTTGAAATCTTGGATTTTCTCCATCCATACGCATTTGTATTTTCTCTTTTATTTATACCTTTTGTAATGCTTTAAGGATTCAGACCCATTGCCTGTTTAAAAACAGATCAAAAAAAGGAACTTAAGATAAGCACTGTAGCTAAAGAAAATGATTCAGCTAGTGCTTAGACCATTATAACAATACATGCAGTGATCTTCTGGACCCTTCCAGTCCTAGACAAAATTATGGTGATATTATTTTTCAGTCATGATCTATAAGTTTTGTACCTGTGGAGGAAATCCTCTTGTGTTATCATTTTAAATAAAACCTCTGTGAGAGAACTTTAGCATGGTACTATTTATTTCTTTGGATTTCAATTTAAGGTGAAATTTTACTTTGGACCATTAATTCTGGTTTTATTAGGAGTAAAAGGTTGAAAGTGCCTTTTGGTAATATTGTACAATCATGTATGAGTATCAGTTTTACATGCAATGCAATGACAGCATGTTCGTGCCAAATAATTTTCTTTTAAAGGTCAATGTGGCGGTAAAGTGTTTGAGAGCATGGAATGACAAGGCATTTATACAGATGCAGATGGATTTTATCAAAGAAGCTAATGCAATGAGTTTGCTGGATCATCCACATATAATCAAACTCTATGGTATAGTGCTGTCAACCCCAATGATGCTGGTAAGTTTATACACAGAACACTGTAAATCAGAAAGATCTGTTTCAGCCCTAAAAATGGGGCTGTTTTGGTGGGTAAAATACGGTCCTATAAGAGTCTAATTTGGCTTCCTAAATCAGGGCCAATAGTCCGATTACTTAGGGATGATTTGAACCCAAGGGCTGACATGGGCCCCTTAGGTGGGCTGGAATAGCCTTTTGATTGAGCTGTTTTGGCTTACATTAATTGTGCTCAAATGGCTCCAGAAGGGGCTTATTATTTTTTTAACCTGAAGGGCTGAATTGGCACTTCGGGGCTGAAACAGATCTTCTTAATTTTCAGTGTACATTGTGCTAAGTCTTTCTGTGGACGTTCAAAAGATGGATCATAGTCTGGTCTGGGAGGGTTTTTTTCTGGGATTTGGGATTTGACCAACATGCAGTGCAGACTTGTGGAAAACGCAAGGTGTCTTAAGGGGAGATGGGATTTTACAGCTACCCAGGAAATGGGATTTGCCAAAATTTAAGCATGGGATTCATTTTGTTTTGTTTTGTTTTGTGTCTTTTTTTTTGCTTCTACATGTATGTTGGGAATTTGGGAAATCATTTGTTTAAGTGGCAAATGTGAATCAACCAGGTGTGCGCTAAGTGTTGTCTCCTTTCAAACCAAACTATAGGGTGCGCTTTGTTAGTTCATTTTATTTTATTTTCTTCGGAAACAAAAGAGGAATTCGGGAAAGGGATGAAAAAATAGCTAGATGCGGGATTTTGATAAAAAAGGAGCAGAAATATGATATCAGGACTCCGCCTCCAGACCTTTTTGGGTATTGCTTAGACATGAGAATTTTTGTCAGCAGAAAAAAATTCTGTTTCCTCTCTGAGATCTATGACTCCCTGCAGGAACTCTTTGAAGTAACAGAAACATTATTTTTGACATATTTAAATTAAGCCCTGCATTGTTGTAAAATGGTCATCAACCTTTCTTTTAAAGGTCACAGAACTAGCTCCTCTTGGCTGTCTGCTTGCCAGACTTAGAAATGAGCCTCAAAGCTTCACAATTAGTGGACTGAGTGATTTTGTGGTTCAGATCGCATCAGGAATGGCTTACCTGGAGTCCCAGAGATTTGTTCATCGGGATCTTGCAGCTCGAAATGTTTTGCTAGAGTCTTATGAGAAAGTCAAGATTGGTGACTTTGGTATGATGCGTGTTCTGTCAGAAGAGGATGATCACTATACTATGCACCCCAGTGGCAAAATGCCATTTGCTTGGTAGGTTTCAACAGTTAACTTTCTTTGTAGGTTCAAGACTACTTACAGTGCAACTACTGTCATCGTGGTCAACTAGACAAAGTTCACCAATAGGATCACAGGAAAATAACAATATGTTCTGAAAAAAGTTGGTTGTCAATCATAATTACTAAGAAACAAAATAAACAACATGGATCAACATTAGCCAATAATCCAATCCTCTTGCTCGGTTTTCTTGAAGTACAGTGTAACACAGCGGTTTTGTTACCTCAGTGTCCTGCGTCCCTGATGCATAAAAATCCCCACAGATGCAAAATAATTCATGACATGCATCCCGTAGGATGCAAAGATTGATCAATAATTGGTCTGAAGATATTTTTTGAAGAATATCCTGTTCTTGTGATTTTTGTGGCCGTCATTTTGGCTGTTGTTTAAAAGAAGAAAAAGGACTATATTTTTCATTAATATTTTAGTAAACTGTAATAAAGAGGTTGGGAGTCTGTCTTTAGAATAACTGTCTGGTTTTATAAAAATTAATGCCCTTTCATTTTGTGACTTTTCTTTTTCAACTGGGACTCAGTGATTCAGGACTGGGACTCATGATTTTTCACAAGATGTGTCTCATGATTCACTATAACTATTTGTAACAAAATCACTGGTAACACTTCATTTCTTGGAGGCATGTGTGGCCAAGTGGTTGATGCCTCAAACTCCAGATGTGGAGGTCTGGGGTAAAACCTAGCCTGTCACGTTGTTTCCCTAGACAAGGAACTTTACTCCACTTTGTCTCTCCTCACCCAGTTGTATAAATGGGTACCGCTGACGTATTTCTTGGAGGAGGGGGGTGGGGGCAGTGGGGTAACCCTGTCATGGACTAGCATCCCATTCTTGGGGGACTAGCAATATATACTTCATGCTAAGGAAACCAGGATGAGCTCCGACCATTTCAGCCTTAAGTTCATGTGCGCCTTTAACTTTATTAATATTTTATTATTTTTTTATTTCTTTTTTAAATTTTGTCACCCTTACAGCAACAAACTTGTTGACAAATTCCTGTGATGTTTTTCTTTTAAATCAAACCCTACTGCAGAAGTTTTGCATAGCATTATCTATTTCTTTTGATTTTACAATTAACAAAATTGAATTTTTGTGAATCTTTATTTTTCATCAGCCTTTACTGTAACTACATGTATAACAAGTGAATTCATTTGGTTTGATTATCTTGCAACCACATGATAATCTTTAGTAAGGATATTTTTAGTCAAGTATTGTACAACTTTCTACAAGCCAATAAGGTCAATTAAGTCTTCCTATCTACTTTCAGGTGTCCACAGGAAGTTCTCAAGTTCCGTAAGTTCTCTCATGCTTCTGATGTGTGGGCATTTGGGATCACTGTGCTGGAGTTGTTTTCATATGGAATGGAGCCATGGCCAGGGCTAAATGGAGCTGAGGTGAGCAGAGGATCAAAGCAAGGTCTTCTCTCTATGCAAGTTCATAGTATTAACAGGGGCTTTTAAAGGAGTTATGTCACGTCACAGTATTTAATTGCTATCTTCTTAAAAAGCTAAATTTTTTCTGATGTCCATTGAATTTCAAAAAAAAACTGGTCCAGTTGTTATTTAGGACATTATATTTATTAAAGCAGTGACTTTTTTTCCTCTGTGTCCTGCATCCCTGACACAAAAAAATCCCTAAAGATACAAAATAATCCATGGCATGCAACCCGTACAACGCAAAGATCGATCAATCAATCTGAGCATCATGTGTTTCTGTCAAAATGTCCGGCCTGTTCGTATAATTTCTGTGGCAGTCATTGTGGTTGTTGTTTAACGGAGAATATATCTTTTAGCCTTTGTTGTGCTTCGAAATAGAAGGACTATATTTTAATTTCAGTGTACTGTGTAGTATGAGTTTTTGAGTCTGTCTTCAGAAAAACTGTCTGGTTACATAAAGGCCCAAGCATTTTCAATTTCAGACTGATTGTTTTTTTAACTGGAACTCATTGTAGTCAGGTCTCTTAGGGTCAGGATCGTTACAGAGTTGACAAAAGCACCAAACTTTGCACAGCGATAGCTTATTGCATTACCATGAATATTAGAGGGGGTGCCCACTGCAAATATGCCACTGAAGCGTGCTAAACAGGATTTAATTATTGTAAATTTCACCTGCTGGGGTCCCTGTGGTGTTTTGATTGAAAATTGTTATTTAATACCTTAAATCACTCTGAATTCTATTGTCATGTTGCAAACAACAATTTCACTCGAACATCTGGCATTCCCATCAATTTTTGCTTATTGATTGTATAATCAAGTTGATTATTACTGTGCCCTTAAAGCAAGTCCACAGTCCGCCCACATTTTCATAAGTCATTTCTAAGATGGCCTCGTCTTTGCTTCATAACTTGCAAGCACTCAGCTTCTGGGCTTTTCTTCTCCTTTTCTAATGTATTTCAATTAGAGGAGGCCTTATCGTGTGGCTTAAGTCTTATTTGTCAAGTATTACTTGTCATTACATGTCACTTTAAGCTGAAGAAAGCGTATGGCATAGCGATTCACACACAAAATTTCAGAAAAAAGAAATTGTCAAAGAGTCTGTTGTATCACATATTATCAGGGATTTATGACAGCTATTCATGAAGAGCAAATAACAAAATGACAGAATCCAAAATAGTTCTTTCCTAGGGAGGTAATTAATTTTTCAGCTTAACATAGGCCTGGATGCCTTTCAGTCTCTCTTATCCAGTTATCTGCTGGACGCAAGTGCATGTTTTGACAGAGAAGCAAGCACCGTGGCACAAGTCATATCATTTACAATTTCCGCAGTTTGTCTAGGCTTTACAAAGCAAAAACAAAGAAAAAAGAATCTGGTCTCATAAACAAAAAAAAGAAACAAGTTAGCCCAAGCTTCAAAAAACAGCACAGTTTATCACGAAGCCTCTACATTTGGCACTGAAGCACTCATGTCCAAAAATAATAACAGCTTATCAAGTCGTAAAAGTGAAACTCAAGTGGTACAAGATTGACTCAAATGATAAATGGTGAATAGTTTAACTGCTGAAACTGTAGAAAGGGGGCCGGGCTAACTTTTAGGGCCTGTTTACATGGAGGAGGGGGACCCCAGGTAGGAATGGTAACCCACTTAGGTGGGGTAACCCGTCTGTCCATATAATCTCTCATTTTAATTTGATCACGTTTACATGATAGGTGGGGTCACCCTTCAAGGTGGGTAGCCCGGTCTGCAACACCAGGTAACCCTCTCAGCTGAGGTCAAATTTTGCCATGTCAGCGTTTCAAGGTGAGGTAACCCAGGCTAGTCGGGGCTGGATACGTGATACATCAAATTCGCGCAAAATTCACTTTAGCGCTGGGTGGCTTCACATAATTATTAAAGGTAACAACAGAAAGCCACAACACTGAAGGTTGCAGCAAGAGCAGCAATTGAGCGTAGACGTCGTTTGCCAGCATTTTTCTTGTTTACATGCTTAGCGACCATTCAATAATCTTGAGAAACTGCACCCCAGGATGGCGGGGTTGTAAGATTGCATGTAAAGGAGGGTTGTTTTTTTACCCACCTAAACAGGTTATCTCACCTACCTGGGGTCCCCCACCTTTATGTTAACAGGCCCTAAGTCTCAGGAACCGTGAAACTGGTAATAAACGGTATACCTAACCCGGGACTAGCTGTGATACTACCGGCCATCTTCAAGAACGTCAGCATAGCAGCCAAAGAAGACATTATATCAGTGTAAAATGAATATTAGATTGCGGTTGTTTCATGCGTCTCGTTTTGTGACTTTTTTGTGTTCGTTTTTGTCACCATCTCTAAATATCAATCATGTTCAAAACACCCCTACTAACAAAATATTTCGTAAAGCTCTTTAGAATGTTTTTCAGCAATAAAAACAAGGTGTGACCAGGAGCCGATTTCTAGGCTCCTGGTGTGGCAACATAGGCATAAGTGAATGCAAAGTTTTGCAGTACGTAATCTGTCAAAAATCTGTTTGAGTGGTCAAAGTTGGGGCTGAAGGGCTTCTTTATCATGACCACTCCATTATTATAAGGGACCAGGCCATAATTATTGTTGACCCTTGCTTTTTTTGGTATTTTATGTAATTTTCCACAGCATTATTTTGTGAAAAGTTGGTAACTGAATTGCTCTTGAGGAATAATTCATGATCGTAAGATTTCGCCCGTACGAAACTTGCAGCGCTGTACAGCGCCACAAAATCGCTGCAAAATAGCTGTACAGCTAAATTACAGCTGTTCAGCAGCCTTTTAGAAGCCAAACAGCAGCTTCATTAGAGTTGCAGCGGGATGCAAAAGCGCTGTGCAGCCTTTGAAGGCTCTTTGAAGCTCTCGGCAGCGGTTTTGCAGCGCAGTTGCCGACTTTCAAACGCTGCGAAGTAGCTGCAGTAACGCTACAAGCTGCGGTCGATCTGACTTTCTTGAGCGCCAATAACATGAATCGCCAGATAAAGCCTTGGCACAGATTACGGCTTTTATAACGCGAAAACTTTGACTGTACCTCTAAGAAATGTGAGTAAGCTTGTGCGCAAAGAAGATCACTTATTGAATAAACCTCCAAATCCTATGCTTTCGGAATAAAGATTTCAATAAATTTCATTCCGTGACCGGCGAGTGTGGGAATTGTATCGCTAATTCCCTGGAGACATTCTAGGCCGTAATCTAATTGGTCGGTCCTTTTGCATGAGATCCCATTACATCTCTAGACAAACACAGAACATATGCGACCGTTGAATGAAAGGCGCAAACATTCTAAGTTTTTTTGCATCTAGTTCTGTTTCGAGATGGAAGTTCTGTTGAAGTTTTTGGATGGAACAGCTCAAACGTATTTGCAAACAACGCACTGAACAGTGACTTCTACGCTAAGTATCGACGAATCGAACCAGAGCAAGCAACACAGATACAAGAATCTCAGATGGGGTTCGCACTTACAAGATTCTTATACGCTCGTGGTAATGTTCGTTCCTTAGTCCATTAACGACGACCAAAGTAAAATTGGGTTGATTTCTTTCATGAAAAAAGTGTAGAAGATAGTGGATCATGGACGAAACGTCAAGGTGAGCAATGTCCAGCTTAGCCCGTTGCAACGAATCAAAATATCATTTGCCTAATGGCCGTGCATGTAAACTTTATGTAGAACAATCGATGTTATTCTCTTTATTTTTAAAAAAGATAATTTTCAATGTCTGCATGTTAATGGATGTTCTTACATTCAGATGAGTGACCGTGATTGCTAAATATTTACAAAGCGAGACTGTTGCAGATTTGTTCTATGTCACGTGCTTTTGTAACGTGTACGCGTGGATACTAATAAAGTATAAGTTGCATTTTGACTTTCTAGTGGTTTTTACTCTGCTACTAAGCCGGTTTAGGCAAATGCCATAATTCTTTGAATTTTTGTACACGTTTGCAGCTATTTGGCAGCGCTGACAGCGTTTTTGTGTGTCCTTTCCACCGCTGCTAAACCGCTGCTTTTCGCTTTCAAACGGCTTCATAGCGCTGCCCCGAACAGCCAAAATTTGCGACTGCTGCAGCCAGCCTCTTTGCAGCTATTCTGCAGCGCTTCTTGAAGCCATTCTGCAGCGCTGCAACAGCGCTGCGCGTTTCGTACGGGCGTAACCACGGGGTTACGAAACAAATTACATTTGGGTCATCAAATTCATCAATTATATTTCGGTCATCAAACAAATTACATACATTTTCATAAATGATGCATCATTGGTTGGCTAAAAGAGGCCTTGTTCCTGTAAATCTCAACTCTTCTGAAGTTAGTTTGTTTGTTAATTGTAACGCACACGACGACCTTCCTTTTTTTGAAAGACCGTATAGACCTACCATTAACACTCTGGTCCAAGCGCTCTGAAGTGAATGAGCCGCTTACAGGTGTCTAGGCATGCAGGGACCTCATACACTTCTTTTTAAATGCAAATGTGCAAAAAATAAAGAGTGTTAAAAATTCCTGGAGAGGCATTCTTTACAACCTCGTCCCCAGGGCATAATAAAAAGGTAGAAAAAGGTAAAGCGACCATATTTTACGTCAATAACTCGTGACAGTAATAATAACTGATAAACTTGAGGTCGACGGTGCGATCCTTTTACCCCCCTCTCTCCATTAATTCCCCGTTTTAAGGGTATTTAAAGCTAGCCAAAGCTACACAGAAAAAAGAGAAGTTGAAATAAGGAGGTGTTGACACCGGGCTCGAACTCGGGACCTCTCGCCCCAAAGGCTGCGCACTAACCAACTGTGCCACCCTTGCTCCTCCTTTTCCCCCTGAGGACGAGGTTGACATGTTTTAATCATTATCTCAAGGACAGGGTTACCAACGAAGCAAATTATAATCTAATCTTAGCTGCACAATAACAAAGTGGGCGCATTGTCAGTTACGGTTCATGAGGTGGTTCATGTGGCGTGTCAAACTTTAACGATTGTGATACATTTGAGTTTTATGTTATTGTATGACATCTTTGAAAGCTGGCTTTGTGATCTGTTTAAATTGATATGTAATGATATTATCACTGGCAAATCTTAGCAGTGACACTGATAGCCGCACAGTCCGCACAGTGAACATGGCCACACTTACCGTGTGGAGACTGAGCACTAGTCAATATTATGTACATGTAAAACTATTTTGAATAGTGTAACAACAACTAAACATTACCAAATTAAAAACTTAAATTTTGAAACAAATGTTTTTTCGCCAAATAAAACAAGAAGAGTACTCACCACAGGGCACCCAATCTGCTATTATAGGCGAAAGTTAACCCCCCTTTTATCTGTAATTAGGACCATTTGTAACGGGCACCCCCTCCAGTATTAATCGGCAGTTGCTAAGGAAGCTCTGTGCCAAATTTGACACTTTTGTCACGTCTGTAACGATCCGGCCTATATTTTGCACTAAGAGACCTGACTATTGGTTCTGGATTGGGACTCACGAGTTTTCACAAGATGAGTCCCAAGACTCACCATAACTTTGTGTAACAAAATCTCTGTTTAGGCATTGACATTATTTCCTGTTGTCTGTTGCATTAGATGGAAAGGATTAGAATGTATTGAACTTGAAAAAGTTGGGTCAACCTTTTCAAGCTTTACATGTAGTTCAATGTCAGCAAACCTCACCAAAAAATATTTATTGTTAGTGCCTCGTGAAATGTGTTTGACATCTTCATAACTCTACAGGACCATTTTGTGTATGGGTTAAGGCCCTAAGAAATAACTTCCTAGCCTACTTGTTGTATTTATGTCCACCTGACAACTAAAAATCTTAGTGAGAGCCCAGATTAATGTTGCCTTTTCTTTACCAAAATAAATAAGAAAAATCCTTCAGAAGACTGCTTGTAAAGTGCATTTAAATGTTAGTCAAGAAAACGTCAGAGACTGACATGGGCTGTGTACATTGCATTGGCCCTGTTAGGGTCAAATTCAGACAAGCAACATAGCCCTGAATCAGCAACATAAGACAGATGAAATTGTGACAAAGAACCTTAGTTGAGTTGAAACTGTGACAGTGTAGGGAAGAATCCCAATTATACTGACAGAGCGGCTTACCCCCCAATAGATGAAATGACAGGTTTTGAAATCCAGAGTAGAAACATGCATACCATTCAGATAACCCCTCCCCCTTGCCAAAAGAGGGTGTCATTGTAATATGTTTGTCAATAGACCAATTTTGATTTATTAATTGAATTCATACTTGACGGTGAGGCTTGGGGGAATAAAACAAAAGAAATGTATTATTCATTGCTGAACCTTAATTCCACTCCCCCAAGCCTCGCAGCCAAGTAGCATTAATTGGTATATTGGCATCCTCAAAATCTTGATTTAGTAATAATTGTAACAATTATTTTTCTTATAATGCCTTTTATTGGTTGATCTTATCGCTGTATCTTCTTGTACCATGTCTCTGTAGGTTCTAGATAAAGTGGATCTGCCATTATGTGAGCGACCTAAAAAACCTGATCACTGCCCACCAGAAATCTACAACGTCCTTATAACATGTTGTTGGTCACATGAACCGCACCAAAGGGCAAGGTTTGCAGTATTGAAGAAATTAATGGATGAGGTATGCATCAATATGATTTTTTTTCCCGTGTCATCAAGCATTGTACAATAACACAAGTGTATGAAAAAAAAAATTTAAACAGATCATGATAATCATTATCATAAACTTAACCTTAATCATAATCATAGTCATAATGATCATAATCATAAAATTTGACATTTACAAATTTTGTTTGAGTTATTCTGTAGGGTTAAGATAATATGTGCATCAGTGCAGGAGCTGTGTAAAAACTCAGTCAATTTTTTTATTTATTTTTTTATTTTTTATTTTATTTTTTTTTCCAGGCTCACCCTCTGAATGGTGCTGCTGTCTATCCCTATGAAAGCAAAAGCCCATCAAATCTGAGTTTTCAAGCAGGAGATATCATCACGCTGCTTGATGCCAGGTAGGTACAGAACTAGCAAATTCTTCAATGAATTCTTTTCAGCTTCTGCTTTTGTAGTTGGATCGTAAACCAGCAGGCAATGATGAGCATATATTATATTGAAAGGTATGCAGATCATTTGCAAAGTAACGTCAAGTAACAGTGTTTGTAATTTCTTACCAAATTTTTAGTCCAGAATCTTCATGGTGGCGAGGCCAAAACATGAGAACAAAGCAAGTAGGAATGTTTCCCTCAGAACTTGTGGAGAATGGATTAAGACGAGGTAACCATTCATTTTTTTTTCTTTCTCAACAATCGTGCTTTAACCTGAAGCCTGTTTAACATACCCTTCGAGAAAAACGCATGCTTACATGTAGGATACATGTAGGTTAATCGTATCTGTTGACACCCTTGTCATTTGCTTTTACAGCAGTTTCACCACCTGTAAGGCATGTGATTTCTCCAAAACAAAGGTAAATATCAATTTTATATTTTGACTGACTGACAGAATAACTTGACTAACTGAGTGCCTGGTTGGTTGGTCGGCTGACTGACTGACTATCTGACTGAGCAACGGTCTGTATGATGACTGACTTATTGGCTGTCTGGCTGATGGAGTGACGAAACAGAATGGCTGACTAAGTAGCCAGTCGACACACAGACTAGCTGGCCGAACGACAGCCTCCCAACTGGCTGATTTGCTGTTCGTTTTCCTGATTGTTAGAAGAAACTACTAGAGTATTATGTTACGTGTACATGTTTTACCGCTTGTTTTCCCTGTCGGCTTTTTTACTAGTAGTCATATACGTCTTTGTTTCACTTTGTCTGTTTGTGTTTTTTTTTTCCCCTTAGACCTACATCGAAAAAGACCTCCAAAAACTGTGACCAGCAGCTTCCAAGCTGCAGTAAGTACATCACAACATGTAGTGTTTCTTTGTGCACTCAGTGTAGCGCGATTAAGTTGAATTTAATAATCCTAGAAGTATTCATAAACTTCATTAGACAATACACTAAAAAAATTGTTTGACTAATGCGAGGTTCATCTAGCCCCTGCCAGTAACACTGAGTGTGACAAAGTCTAGGTACAGGATAATTAATAACTACAAAACAATTCTCACAATGCCATCACCTCTTCTTCCTCCCCATATAAATAAAGACAGCTTTTCAGGTTTGCTCCGCCAAAAAGTTGAGCTCTAACAAAGCCTGTCAGCCCCTGTTAACGTTTGGTTTTTGGAGACGAGAAAATCTTTTCCCCAAAATTAAGTATTAGGCACCCTTTTTTCACCGGCTTATAGCTGTTTAGCTTGCGTCGCAGAGGTAATTTAACCCACGTCTGCGAAGAAGTACCGAGGTCCTTGTTCTGGATTCAACGAATTACATTTATCGGAAGTGCGTTTCAATTTACTTTGAACCTGATTGTCAGATCGACAGTAGGTTTTTTAACAGACCAGGCCAGGTCGAATCTGGTACACAGGTGGAGTTGGAGGCCAAGAACAGGGATTTTGGCGCTGTTTCACAGAGGAACTTGACCAAAGTTAAGTTTCGTCACTGGCGCGGGCTAATAGCTTTTGGTCTCCCAAAACAGTCTCGGCAGGCTTTTTCTGCGCATTTGCTGATTCTAAGCTGTCTTTAATTTTTCAGGGTGTGGGAAGCCTCACATTTATGAGACACCTATCCTCTTGGATTCACAAGACTTGTCCACGGTCAGCAGCAGTGGAAGCACATTTCGCTCTGTTGAGAGTGACTTAACTTCATCTACTGAGGTTGACAGTGGCTACTCTTCCGGTGTAGACGTCCGAAGGCTCAATCTTTCTAGCGGAGAATACAGTTTGGAGCAACAAGAACCATTTTTTAGTGCAGTGTACGAAAACACAGGCATCGGTAAACGGAACACAAAGTTAAAAGGCGATTCTTACGAGCTTATGTCCCCTGCATGTAATCTTGGCGCCGTTTCTAACCCAATTCCCATTCCGAAACAAGGAGCTGGAGAACCACGATACGTCAGGAATCATCATATTGAGCAAGTCACACCTTCGTTGTCAGAGGATAGGTATCCTTTGGATTTCAACAACATCTACAACCAGAATTTGTGTAGCATTCAAAATGAATCTCCTCCCGCGCTTCCATCGAAAATGTCAGCTTCGTTGCCAAGTCCTACGGTAGAGCAGATGAACCTGAAACAACCAAGGATTTCTAGAACAGCCTCTCCGCCTGGAAGCAAAAAAGTCCCACGTGAGACTGGTGCAGGAAAAACTGTTGCCCGGGTGATGAACAACTCCCTAAAGGAGGTGAAAACCAAAAAATCATTTGATGGTTCATTGATCAAGCCGGAGGAGGATGATATATATGTTGAGTTGTCAAGGCCAGTTGGTGGAATTCCAGCAGCTCTGCCAGTTGCTGCAACTGGCAGCACTTCCTCAAGGGACCCGCTGAAGGCAGTGAATAGAAATTCATACGAAAACAATTTTATTCCAGTTAAATGTGATCCTCACAAAGAGAGGAGTGTCCCTGACCACGAGTGTGAACGAACCAGATGCAATTCAGAATTTAAGTCGGCAGAGGACAGGACAGATAAAAATGGTCGCTGCAACACCTGGCCTACCCAGCAGGTCTATGACAACCACAAATTAAGGGGTGGTAGGGAATCGACTACGTGCAGTGGTTGCTATGACAATCATAAGATAAACAACGAGGAAACCAAAGCTGCGTCGTCTGACTTGTCCTATGATAACTGGAAGATTACAAACACACGTTTTCGTGAACAACAGACGTCCAACTCCTTCTATGAGAATGTTGAAAAACCTGTTGATCATTCTTTGATGAACGGTGAGGATGCTGACCACGACAAGACCACTCCTGAGAGATCAAATGGCTCCTTAAACAGGGATAGATCCGAGGACCATATTTATGAAAACTCCCTTCCTAGTCCAGGACCATTAAGCTATGAGAACTTTGCTCCAAGGTTTAACGCAGAGAGTGACAAGAAAGGTATAAACGAAGTTTTGTATGAAAATTGCGAGGTCCTAGACAAGAGGAAAGAAAAATCATACAAGATATTGAGCGAAGGTTTGTCAGGAAATACACATGAAATTGGTAACAGAGTCAGTGAAGAATTATCCAGCTCATTACCGGCAAATTGTTGCTGTGTAGATGTTGTTGCAGGGGAACACCCTCAGAGCCCAATAAATTTGATAGTAGAGAATCGTAACCTAAGCCCACTTACAAGATCAAGAAGTGTCGATTCTATAAGGCAGTGCAATTGTCTCAGTGATGTAGACCAGAGCGATGCCGATGGCTCCCAGGAATTCATGGATCACCCGGTTCCCCCTCCCAGATGGAAGAGAATGCAACGTTTAAATCAGACTCGATCTATGGACGTCTGCACAAAAGAGACTTGGTCAGTTACCGTGGATCCTAACATTGCAAGTGTACTGAGGAGGAGGTGGAATGGGTCCGTCGACAACGCTGGCGGATCGTCTGCGAAGTCATTTGGGGTTTCTCAAGATCCACGGATTGAAACTTCCAAAGAAGCGGAGAAACCAAGTTTGCCTTCACGTTCTAAAGCTACCAATTTGGCTACCTCTGAAATTGCGACCCATTCTAAGAACACGTATGAAAACGTGATATTACCAGGAAAGATGTTTGGTAAAAAAGCTCCCTTGAGTTGCCCACCTAAACTTCCTCCAAAAAAGCAGCGATCAGTCGAAAGCAATTCCTGGAAGATGGCCAATTCGACGAGGAGAGCACAAGCTTACGAAAATGTTGGAGTTTTGAATGGTCACCCTTTGGAAAGTAATGGAGTCGATGAAGGTGACAAGAAAGACAGCACTCCTCCTCCACTTCCCAGGAAGATGTCACAGAAAGGACCACCTCCGATACCATTTGGGGTTGATTTGGAACAGGCCTGTTAAGGGATATCAAGCGTGTAGTGCATGTGCTAAAATATTTCTTGTGGAGACCGGACATATAAAAAAGGAGTTGCACAGTAAGATAGTAAGCGAAAATATAAATGCAGTGGAACCGTGATGATACGGAGTGCGAACGTACCGGAAAATGTTTACTTTTAGAGGCAGTGCCTCGAGAACTACTACAACACAACAGAAAGAGAAAGGCGTAAGGATTTTGTCTTTTTAAATTTATACTCAAAATTGCACACATACAAAGAGATTTTTAGGTCAAGTGGCGATCGAAGAGGAGCTTTGTCTAAGAAACTGGCCCTCAATGGAACATTTGCACGATGGCGTCATTTTCCTATTACGAACGGAATCCTTTTCATTTTTCCTTTCATATTTGAATTTGGTAAGCCCAGCGAGGTTTAAATAACAATAGCCCTAATTTACACAAGAAAGCAAAACCCTGAAGGATTCTGGTCGTAGTTTAGGTAGTAAAATTACGTCATCGTGCGAATGGCTATTGTTTAGCATGAACCATGCAATTTACTGACAGTGAGTGAAGCGGGTTATCGCTCGTTATATCAGACCACTCGTTTCATCGGGATTCCACTTTAAATCTCATTTAATAATTGATTTTTAGAGGTACAGATTTTTTGTTATCCTTTAAAAATTATTAAGTACTAACCCTACAGGTGTACTTACAATTTTTACTCAAGTAGAAATAATTGAATATTTTTTGCTCTGTACAGAAAATATTATTGTAACATTGTTCCGATGCTTTTAACACTTGCGCAAACAAGCAGTGTGAATTTATTGTCTTTTACGGTTTTAATTACCATGTAATTATCTCTCAGTGTTTTATTCAAGTTGATAGTTTATTTTATTGTACAATATTTTATTTCACTGACGCACCAGTTGAGCTGGAAGCTGTCAGATTTTAAGCTTAAATTCGCTGTAAATAGATATTTGTCCTTTTTCCTACTATTCGGAATATTTTAAACGGGCTTCGAGCTCGTTTCTCTTTGATGTTCATTTTTAACCGATTCATTGTCAAAGGAAACGTCATTATAACAATTTTATTTCTTTAATTGGCGAATCAATTGAAGCTGGAAAGTAAAAATAATTATTTTTTAGAAAACGTAACATCATAGAAGACTATCAGGCTTCGTGCCTCAATTATCTCGGCCTTGGAACACCCTTTGAAGGCCTTGGTGAACTCCATGAACTTCAGCTCTCTCTCTCTCTCTTTCTCTCTTTTTTTCCTACTGATTCATGACAAATTCTCTTTATTTTTTATGTTGATTCTTTTGTTTTCCTTGCGAAAAATTAATTTAACCATTGAAAGAGTTATTAACAGTTAAATGTTGGAGTCCTTGATACTATATTTTGTTAACCAAAAATTTTCTTGTGAACTCTAGTCACGGCGAAGGTGGAGACACCAGTCTTTAGTATTCAGCCACGTTTAATGGTCAAGTTAGAGTCTATACAGAAATTTTAAAAAAAGCAGTCACTTAGTTTTTAAATAATTTGAATTTAATAGGGGGAGGAATCATTTAATTACTAGGTCAATATAGTGATATATAATTCGAGACTGTGTCTCGTTTAAGTCATGTAGTTGCTTGTTCAACACGTATGAAGATTGAGATCCTAGTGTTTTGAGAGAGCTGTAAATCGTTTTCGCTGTATTCAATTTTATTTTATCAGTTGTATTCTTTTTGAAGTATAGCGAATAGCTGTTTTGTTTTTGGCATAATTTCAGTCGTAATTGCCGATGCTCTTCAAGCTGACGCTATGACATTTGAAGTAATTTATCATTTTATTTATTGAAATTAATTCATTACAGCTTTCCTCCAGCGGGGCTGCAAATGATGAATAAAATTAGAATGTTACTAAAAACGTTCTACTGTATTATCAAGATTTTTTTCCCGATTTATGGGTAAAAATGAATGTTCCTAGATAACAAAATTGAAGGACTCAGACCGGTCTACCCTTTGAAATAGCTTAAGAAAATACGTGTAAACCCGTGGAAAGTTAGCATAAGTATTGGAAAGCATTAGTACAAGGAAACTTACGTTAAAGCTGGCCTGCGACAAACAGAAGAACAAGTAACTGAAACATGGTGCTTTCCACGAAACCGCGCTATTCCTGCAATCCCTACGAGTCACATCTCTATTCTTTCCTAATTAACCTTATGCTTGCTTATGACGAGTTAAGTCAAGTTCTTCGCAATTATTCCATCATTGACGTTAGTCATTGGCGTCAATGATGTTATAACCACGACGATGATAAAAACGTCAAAAAACAATTCGTTTTATGAGCAAAACAACAGAAAATGGCGGGTGATTTTACCGCTGTGCTAAGACGAAATAGACTGCGAATTACTGCAGTTTGAAAATAACAGCACGATTACACAAGCCTTCCGGTCAGATGGGGGATGAATCCTCAAGCTTCGGAGCCAGGTTAGAATTTTAATATATGGTAATAATATACTGTTGTTAACATATAGTAAATTATAAGAGGCCCTTGCATTACTATCGACCTCTTCCCAACAATAGCTAAAAGCTGTTTTTTTCGGTATGCTCTAATAGGTACTGGTACCCCGTCGTTTCTGCCTAATTTGCATCTTATCTTTAGGGATATCCCACAAGTCCACTCCACACTTGCAGCAGCAAGGCCACATTCTGTAGTATTCCATTCTAAATGTCCTGTTGAGTACCCCGTATAACACAGGGTTGATTGCAGAGCTAATAGACACTAGGAACACATTTAGAAGGTACACTCGTCTGGGTAAAGAATGGTTCCCTGTGACAGAGTCTGTGAACTCGATGACAAATACAGGGACCCAACATAATGTAAAAGCGAGAACTATCGCGAACAGAGTTTTGGTGATTCGTATTTCCTCAACGCTTATTTTTGAGTTATGGGAGTGTCGCACGGTCGAGGTGATCGAATAAAATCGTTGCCGGTGCTGCTTGACCTTCAAGAAAACTTTGGTGTAGCAAAATATTATGACAGAGAACGGGACAACAACGTTCACAACACCAAGGACGCCGGTGTATAACTTATCAGTGAGCGGCTGGTGGAATTCCAGAACGCAGGTGATCTTGCCGGAATGAAAACGAAAAAATCCCCATCCGGTAACAAGTGGCAAACCGAGAAAAAAGGCAGCAGATAATACAACTATAGTTAATGAGAAAAGGACAAATTGTTGAGTGAAAACTCTGCGAAATAGCCAAGGTTTAAGGACTCGACAATAACGATTGAAGGCTAGTAAAGCTATAGTCTGCAAGGACACGAAGGCCAAGAAAAGAACTGCAAAGCCGTGCATTCCACATACTACACGAGGATATCTCCATTCACCGACCAAGAACACGCCCCAAACCAGAGGCATACAGAACGTCGCCATGGCAACATCCGATACGGCTAAAGCAAAAATGTAGAGATAGGTGACGCTTCGTAATCGGGGATTCCGGTAAAAAATAAAGCAGACGAGCAGATTGCCTAGCAACGCAGTTAAGTTGATAAGAACGAAGAGCGTTGTCTCTATGGCGAAGCCAGTTGTGCTCCTAGATTTCATAATGAAGATAAGATCTATATAAGGACTTCCTTCTGTAGACTCATTTGGCGCCATTAGCAGTTCTGCGTTTAACTCTGTCAGGAAAGAAAAAATAATAATAAAACCTATGGAGTTAAAAATGTGAACCTACCCAACAGGACGGGAGCTGGGAGGAATGAAGACGGCAAACCTTGTGTGACAAGCTAGACAATAATTTGGTTAAAGAAAAAAAAAATCCGCCAAGCTTCACCTTCCTTTAAAAAGATCTTTCCGCAAAAAGCCAGAAAACATTGATGAAAAGCGGAAGATCGCAAAACACGCAAGTAATTGCCCTGTCACGTTTTTCACGTTTTTCTCGTCGAGTCCTGTTGCGCAAACTCACTATTATCGAGCAGGGGGTAGAATAGTTTGCAAAAAAGCACAGACCAGAGCATTTAAGACTAACAACCTAAAAAAGCAGCAATACTTTAAAGAAAATGTAATTTAAAATCCCATTTTAAAATATAAAGATTGGATCTTCTCCGACAAAGGAAAAAAGTACACAAGGTACTTCGCTGATGACAACCAAGTGCGCATGCCGGCCATGCCTGTCCGCTGGACAAGGATAACGCGGCCTTTGAGAACGGCGTGTTTTTTTTTTCAGTTTCCCCGAGTTTCCCTTAATAATCAACAGCAAGAACAGTTCAAGAAGTGTTAAAACTCTCGCTAACAATAAATAAAGATCTGAGCGGAGAAGTGAGAAAGCCGCAATGCAATTATTTACCCCCAGTCATTATATTCTAGACATCGCGGTAAACTAAGATTTACAGCGCTTTCAAGAAAGTATTGTATGTTTGGACAGAAACTATTGCTGAAAACATAGACCAGTGTATACCTTCAAAACATTGTTCGGTACTGGCTTTGATGCTCCCGCTTCGATAAACATAGATTTGATCAAGATATGTCAGTTAATTTCGACACTTTTCAAACTCTTTTTCGGGTAAATTTCAGTTGAAGCCACAATCTTTCGGATAGTTACACGATTTTTTTCCTTCTCTCCTTCCAACTTTTCCCTTAAAAATTTAGGCTACGTATTTCAATTCTGTCAGAGCAAGTCATTTTCACTATTGCAACGAGTGAAATATTTGATTACTATGTGATTAAAATACACGTTTTGTATTTTAATTTGCCCTGTTTTGTCACTTCTCTTGACCCAGCGATTCTTATAAGTGGTCCGAGTGGAATGGCCGGAAATTACAGATTCTAATTTGAACCTCAGTTTTTTAACAGGACGCCTTTTGGAAGCCGTTGAGATTTTGCGATAACTTTGATACAACATGAAAAGATGAGAGATATTTATAGAATTGAAGATTGCTCAAAATTTTGTCGAAAAATATTAAAAGAGATGGATAAAAAGAAATGAAACGTCGGATTAAATTGACAAACAAAAAGCAACTGCCTTTGTTATGAACTGTCAAACAGGTATCGTTTTACATGTATTTCAGTAAAATCTACCAACCTGAGAAAGGCCAAGCCCTCTTAGCCCTCTCACGGAAATTTCATGCGTGATCACGCGTGAATTTATTTTATCATTGATAACATTCATTTGATGAATCTTAATTTTTGTATTTTAGACTTAGCTTAAGCGAAGTTTATACATTGATACGATCAAACTAGTTTGTTCCCCTGCTGTAGAGAAAGAACATCTGCAATGGCATCTTGTTGCTCAAAATAGCAGCAACAATAAAAATATCATTGTGCCTTGGGCGAGTTGAAAAAACGTTATTATAAGACTGAGATTAATAATTGTTTTCTGTATACCAGTGATTGTCTTTCACTGTCCAAAAATTGTAGCATATGCACACATGGCGGTCGTAAAGGCAATTTAGTGTATGCAGCGATCACGATTAATATATTTCAAATTTAACATTTTTAAAATGAAGGGGAAAAAAAACGTTTACTTACAAATTAGGACAAGTGTTGATGAATTTTTGTCGCCAACGAGTGAAACGCTGTACGAAGCAAAACTCTCTCGTGCGCTGAAAGCCAGACCGTGACAGAAGCTTGGGTGACCAGGCTGTTATTATGTAAATATTTTAAACCAACTGACGGATCCAAAGCTGATCGATATGATGACTTCAATAACAGCAAACAAACGTAATTCAGGTGATTTTAATTTCAGTTTTTGAGGCTTATTTGTATTCCGGTTCCCCACCCACGAGAAACACCTGCTTCAAATAGAAATGGTTCAAGTCCTGCCGGCATTGTTCTTGAATTTTAATGAGGAAAAAGGTTCTACAGTTAGGCTATCTTCACACTATACCTAATAGCTTTACTTGCCGACACGAAAAGCTATCCGATGCATATAAACAGCAACGTTCGGCACAGAACTGAAACAAGTCATTCACACACGTATCGAATATGGAGACAGAGTGGTTGGCCGAGAGGGTTTTGGTGAACTTAGTTACAGTCCTCACTCCCCACTCCCGAACATTAACTTCCGTTTCAAATTCCAGTCCTCGTTCTTACTTAATCATTTCCGTTTCGGTCCGAATACCTACAATCCTCGTCACGTTAAGTTGGGACATCCTTTGCCGCACACATACCGTATTTATTCGAATAAGCGCCCAACCTCGAATTAGCGCCCACCTCGAATAAGCGCCCATCCTAGAGGCAGAAAAGGGTTAATAAGCGCCCAGCCTCGAATAAGCGCCCACCCCTCCCCTTTCCACTCAAACTCAAGTAAGCTACCGCAACCAAAACCCACTCCCCTTCCCCCTCACAACCCGGCGAAAAAACTGAATAAGTACTAATTAGAGACTTCCCCGAAGACGGAGTTTTGTTCAGGGTATTTTACAGAAATCTTGCTTTGTTACATCTTCGCGTTTTGTTTTTACCATTTATTGTTTTGTTGCAAAATAAACATACTACACTCGCTGAAAATGATGAAAATTTAATAAGCGCCCAGCCTCGAATAAGCGCCCATTCCCAAGGTCCAAAAATTTGATAAGCGCCCAGGGCGGTTAATCGAATAAATACGGTATTCCAGCAAAAAGTTGTGTATCTTAACCTTCCATTGTTGAATTTCGCGTTCAGGCTTCTGTAATGCCAACTCGCAAAAACCAACATTGGGAGGGCAGAAAACATCCCAGCTGTCCCACCTAATGTGACGAGGATTGTAGCCTGTTCACTCTGCAAAAAATGTGGCTCAGAAACTATCCGATATTTGACGCTCTACTTTCGAGATCGGCGTTTCGCAGCTTCGCTCCGTTTCAGAAATCGCGCCAAAATCACTGTTCCTATGAGCTATCCACTTAAGTGGGAACACACCCTACGAAACTGACATGATTCATGGGTAAAATATTTCCATCCTTCAACATCTCACTACGTTACGAGGGAACGTAGTCTATCTCTATTAAAGCAACACTTGAAGCGGTGAAAGCCCAAATAGTGAGACATGCACAGAAACGAACAGTGACTCAAAGCCACTTTTAACCTTTTGGGCCCTATATCCACATACAAATTAGCCTCCAGACTGATCTCCATGCATTTCCTTGGGAAAAAAAATAATGGAGAGAATTTGATCAAAACAAATCAAAACTTTTTTCCTTTAGTGATTATTTAATTATTTTTTTCAAAACGCTCGTAACTTTTCTCTCAGAGATGTATTGAGGATATTTTTAAGAGAAATTGATTATCCCACGTCGAGGACATTTTTGTTTCATGTTTCATCTGCTATTCTTCATGAAAAAAGATAGAGAAGCTTGCATTGTGAATAAGTCTGATCTCGTGAGACCACAAGCCCCTTTATGACGCAATTGAAGGAGGTCAAAAATATGCTTGAGTGATGACCATGCAACTCGGCTAATTGCTTTTCCTCTAGAACCCAGATTCACATATAGCCACCGAAAAAAAAGGAACGAATGTATTTTAAACGTTGTTTTTAAGCTTTGTGCAGGTCTGTAACAGTTGTGAAATAAACACCATGTCTCGTGATGATGTCAGTGTTCTTAGTAGATAAGTACGACATAAAAATTGTCTCGCACATTCGTATTGACCGGAGAGGTCTCTCACTGGTCTTGGCTCTGAAACAGTTTCTAAACCTACACATCTTCAAGTGAATGAGCCATGTGCCACTTTTTCTTTTTTTGTTTGTTAGTTTTTTAGCAAAAAGTTTCAAGAGCTAGTCATTTAGTAAAAGAAAGTGTTGTAAGCTATTATGTAGCTGAAAATGACTAGCGACATTCTGTGATAGAAGGGCATGTTACATGTATTTCGAAATAAGCCGTTGTTCATTTGAACATTTTCAGTTCCCTTTGGTTGGTTCAATTTTTTTTCTTCCCCGGACGCTCTCATAACTTCCATGATATTATCTAGCACTAATGACATATTCAGTATTGCTTCCCTTAATGTTCTGCCTCTCAGTTAACCACTCGCTTTTCTCGGTGTCATAATATCGGTCGAGTACATTGAGAGACCAAGGAATCCCTTTCTCTTTTAGCGTGAGCGCAAAGTAACGAGCAAAGTTTATTACTTCCGCCTGGTCCAAACTCCCATCTTTGTTGTCCACTAGCATCCATGCCCCAAGGTACGTTGGCAGACCGCTACTATCGGTGAAGTCTGTGGCCTGCCTTACGGCTTTATTGACATTTTCACGTCCTTTAGGGCGGCCGTCCCCGCTCCAGTACTTCTGCCCTCCCACTTTCTTGTTTGGCCCAGACGCATAGATGTGCCACTCGGCCAACATAAACCGATCATTCCTGTAAATATCTTTGTCGATCTTGTCCAAGTCCTTTCCCGTTTTTACTGGTGACCCAAGAATTAGTATACGATAATTTTTCTGTCTCCCGTTGCACGAATCGCTGCAACCACATCAGAAGTCCAGCGGTTGACCCTTTAAGCAATGGGGGAATGGGACACAGGAAATTAATGGGGGCCGGAGACAGTAAGTACATGAAATGAATATTGAAAAAGAGAAGAGATGGCTACGCCCAGAAGGTCGTCATTTTCATTTCCGAGTTAGGGTGAACGTCAGGGAGTGCTTACAAGTTATTTAGCCTCACACAAAGCATGTCACTTTTGAAATAAACGTTTCGGCCTTACGTTCCACTTGGTGCTATTAAAAACCTTAAGCAACGTGAACGTTGACGTCCCGGACATCAAAAATGGCAACCGGAAGTTGGTAGTCTCTCTTTCAGTGCTCTGAGCTGACCCCACAAATTCGTACAGCAGGAGATAAGAAAAAGGCATCCAGAGTCGTTGTATGTCGTTGCATGTCGTTCCATCAGGCGATACATTGAACTTCCGGTCAGTGTTCTCTTCACTTAAGCTCCCTATTTCTTTTTGAGACCGGGTATTTTGCGAGTCTCAGTGGCAAGTTAGAGTTGCAAGCTGAAAATTGGGACTGAGTTACAAGCTGCGGGGCCACTTTAGCCAGGACCAGTTTTTACTGTTCTCAGTACTGGACACATACTCTCTTAGACTTGCTAAAAGTCGACCTCACGAGGTTCTTAGCGAGAGCTGGGGAGCCATATTAAATCGGATGATGGACTTTTTTGAAAGTCTAATATACCGGCCGGTCGGCCAATTCTTACAGATGGAAAGCGCTCTAAGCCTCCTTGTTCTAATGGCGACGAGATACTGGCTAAGTCTCTTAGAAAAGTCATATTGAAAGGAACTACAGATAAGATAAAACAAGAACAACCAAATCACTAGGTCATGTTCAAACGTCCCCCTCCCCTAAAAAAGGGGAGATTTTTTTTTTTTTTTGAGGGAAGGGGGCATCTGTACACAGGCTAACAAATCACCCTTAAAAAGTGATCACTTCCGCAAAGGGTCTTAAAAGACCAAGAAATATCATGATCACAGGCCCGTAACCAGGATTTTTATGGGGGTGCTAACGAGGCCAAAGTGGACCAGACTACCGAAAAGTATTTTTTATTGTCTGATCCGTTTATTTAGAAAAGTAGCAATACATGAGAAATTGTAACGGCAAAGTACACGGTAGGAAATGAATATTACATTTGTCGAATACTACGGAACTAATCCCTCAGAATAGTCCCGAGCTCCAGCCTCCGTGGGTGTTAGTGGCAAACAGATTTACCACCTCATCCAAAACAATTTTAACATGATAGTGTATGTGCATTAGTGCGAGGGACGACAGCCTTTCCTGGCCCATGCATGCCCTGTTATATGCATGCGGCCGCCTTAAAGACATCGGCTTTTCATAGAATATTGTCATGACATCAGGAAATGACGATAAGAGACCAAGAGAAACATAAAATATTTTTTCCCTCTTTGTGTCTCGAAAACTTCTATTTTGTTGGTTTGGGATGCCTGTGGATTGCTGCTTTACATTAACCCTCCCATTCCCTCTCCGAATTGTTACTCTGTGTTCCCTCAATGGCTTTTCATTAAGCGAGTTTGTTTCATATCGAGGAGTAGGGACTAAATCTCAGAGCATAATAATGGGATCAAGACTGGTGGACATTGCGAAAATAAGTATGATTTACCTTCTATATCTCGCTTTAAAACTGTAGTTAACTGAGATAGATCTGAAGTCGTGGTTTCAGCTGGGCTGTCATTGCAGACTGCACTGTCATTATCAGCGTCTGATCATGGCTCTTGACGGGGTACTTTACTGACCCCCGTATCGAGAGACTGGCAAGATTTAGCTGCAGCCTTTCTCTTTCTATTTTCCTGTTCTCTCTTACCCATAACGTATTACACAAAAAACTAATTTTGCATCTTCGGTAGCCTGCGAAAACATCCGTATCTCCTCGCTCTTCGCCGCTGGGGACGTTTCGCGAGGAGGAACATCTGTGACTCAGCGACAGAAATTCCATACTGATGACCTAAAATCTGTCCGGAATCCGGTCAGAAGCGCTGATTGGTCGACAGCGTAGTTACATTGTCTTAGCTATTGTTTACGAATGACAGACAAAAGACAAAAGGCCACAAAGATCAAATGTAAACGCGAAGAATCTCTCACAAAACAGTCAATATTTCTGGAATATAGTCTTCTCTAGATGAAGCATTTGAGTTTTGCTGGAGCTCGTTGGCAGGTGAACACAACACTTCACCAAAATCGACCAGAAGACACGCAAAATTGGACAAATTTATGTTTGGAACCTCATGACTACCGGATTCATTATGTAAACATTGATTTGCGTCATCAGTATGGAATTTCTGTCGCTGAGTCGCAGACGTTCCTCCTCGCCAAACCCCAGCGGCGAAGAGCGAGGAGAAACGGATGTTTTCGCAGGCTAAATCTTCGGGCGTTCATGCACTCGCACAAATAGAGAACACTACCCGACGCGTTACCGGACGTGTGTGACAAAAATTGTGAGATCTTTCCCTTGTCATTGGCTTGCTCGTCGTAAACTCCCGTGCAAAGCGTGCTCGTGTTAATTTCCTTATTCATTTAGATAAGCTCGGACATCTGTGCGCTCACTGAAATGTTCTGAATGGCTCGGGCTATTAGAGTACAGCTGGTTTTATTTTCCCAGTGAATACACTACTGCTTTTTCATTCTTTGAGTTTGTTTAAATGTCACTGTTAAGTTTGAAACTTCCGTTTAACCGACTGCACTCCTTAACTTGGATATTGAGTATCAAAATGCGGACCTTTGGGGTCTGTGGGGGGGGGATGCGAGAGCACCCCGTGCGCCACCGACGCAATAACAACAATAATAACAATAGCATAACAAAATTACCTTCAGTACACACTGTCACATTGAAATATGTCCCAAACAATACTACAAATAGTACGTAATATACAAATACCGTCTCCAATCCTTGATAAAAGGTAACCTGAATTTCATTACTTACTTTGCTCCATTCGTTTCCTGAAATGCCGCAGTAGACACCTGTACGCATTGCGTACCTATTTTTCCTTAAAGAGCTGCTTTGTGACCTTTGTTTTTGGCGTTTATGCAAGCTTTTCTTTCTTGTTTTCTTGTTTCCTTTCTTCTACGTTAAGGACCAAATAGTATATTTTCAATAAAATCAAATTGTTGTGTTTTTAAAGTGTTATGTGTATTTATTTCATTGCGTGATTAAGATCAAGTTTGATTATTGAACACATTCGTTCAGAGTACAGATACTGTACTGCATGCAGTTGACAGTTTAAACGTTAAACATGAATTACGACGATAAAAAAGAGTAAAGCATTTCTTTATGATGTAGTCATTTGCACACGATATTTCTTTGTTTGGTAGTCGAAAATTGTTTAGCTTTTGCATGAATTAAAGCAAAGGAGTGGTGACGTCACTGGACGGTATTAACGGCCGGTCGATTGTGAGTAAAAACAAGTAATCGAAGTAATCGTCCGAAATTCAGGCTAGGACCGGTTTTGATAGGAGTTAGCATGAAAACAAGCCAAGACTGACGAAAAAACGCCGTTTCGCTGCTCAGTTAAGTTATGTGAATGGTTGAAGAGTTGATTCTCAGCTGTTATAACCTAGAGCGTCATATGTTTGGTTGAGATGAGTTAACAATGGCATCTAGCCCCAAAACAAAAGAGCTGTATCATAAAAACTAGAGTTTTTAAGGAGGGGCGACGCTATTATTGTATCTAGAGGCAAGTAGATATTTCGGAGCGGTCTCTGTAACGGAGCGTAGGTGCGTCACCGACGTCGACCTTAACGAAAGTGGATTGTCATATACATGTATCGAATATATTCTTGTGAACAGGTTTTACAGCCAGGCCGGAGTATTTTGTTGTGGCTCAATGAATCCTTGTTTTGAATTTTGTTTTCCTTTGTCTCTAACGGGTGAGTGAATCACGTTTCATTTTGGTCATTATAATGGGCAAATTGATCTGAAGGTTGATTCACGCAGTAAACAAAAGGAGACAATGGAATTAGTGCATAATGGCGCGTAGTTTTCTACTACCTTCGTAAATTTTAAGTGAAATCACCCTAATATGAATAATAGGGATGTGAAAAGATGAAATACGCTAAATTAAAAGCTTAACTTATTGTTTAATCTGAAAAATGTTGTTAGACGTTCTGATAAGAGTCATAAGAGCTGTGAGTAAAGTTCATAAGTTAGGCAGTCCACACGATGCAAAGCACTCTGTTGGAGTCACCCTTTAGCTAGAGTGATCTTCCAACTAGAGGGAAATAGATAGACGAATACTAAGCGCTATTAGAGATCCTTCACATAACTCCAACTAGAGCCACTATAGTGCAAAAGTCCACTAAATATGCAAAATACGCGAGGTGTTTTCCCATGGGTAACTTTTCCTTTATTTGCAGCAGGCACGAATAGAACCATCAAATAAAAGACGAATTATGTGACAAATAGCCTGTTTAGCTTTTTGGAGGTTTTGGGAAACAATTCGTGTAATCCCTTTTATCGATCGATGATTCTCTTGGGAACGATAGTATGTATGCCATGATGCTTTCGTTCTTCACAGTAAAATTTCCAGCCGGTCAGTGTTGAATGATGTACGATGACCAATATTGATATATCAAACACACTTGACTTGCGTGTTTCTGTAACAAGTAATTTGCAGATAAAGCAAAATAAAAATCTTTCCAAAAATTGAATTTTCTCGATCCTTCAGTCTTAAAAATAATGTTTACGTATGTGAGATGCAGTTGAGTTTCGAAAAAAATGTCAGAGGAAAATTGGGAAAATGTCAGCATCTTAAAGAGAAAAAAAAAAAGAAGTGCATTTTCCGTCTGCTTAAAGTATCTTTTGAAATTCCGCCCAGGTTTTATTTTAACTTCTTCTACGATCT